GTACGGAGATGATCTCGTAATGACATTGGATTGTCCGTGAAACTTATATACGGATATTTTTAACAAATTAGCCATCAAAAAGTAGTTGAATCATGATGCAAAAACATTCAGGAATCCCCTAATTAGTTATAGATAAGTTGGTTGCACAAATAATGTTGCTATACTGCATAAAAATTAACAGTTTTTTTTATACGACTTAAAATGGCAAACAAGCTGACGGCCTACCTGATGGGAAGTCGTAACCGTCGCCTATAGACATGAGCAGTACCATGGACATAACAGAGTGTACTGTCTCGCCCATGATACCCCCCATGCGTTGCCATCCCTGAGGACTCAGGTGTTATTCCTCTGTACTCTGTAAATCCACTACCATATTCCACCCTTCAAACCGAAACTTAATTATGCAAACACGAATGCTACACGGTAGAAACACGAATGCGACAGAGGAGCAAACGACTTTTGTACAAAGTCTCCCTCTGGTTTTTTTTTACAACACGGGGGGCAAACGAGCATGCGACTCACCTGATGGTAAGTGACTACCGCTGCCCATGATATTTTATTAAAATCGATTCAGTAGTTTAGTTTTTAATTCAAAATAACCGGTTTTGTCTTAATTTTCTATTTTTTATTTGTGAAACAAAATTTAATTGTAAAACGAATAAAACGCACCGATGTACGACGAGATGTTATAAACAAAATATTATTTGAAATATTTAAATTTAGAACACGGAATGGCGTAAATAGGTTTTTTATATCAGCCATTAACTTTTCACCGCTGAACATAGCCTCTCCTATAAGAAGGGTTTTTATCAAGCAGTAGTTGCCACGCTTAACAGGCTTGGTAATCGTGCTGCCCATCCCTCCATCATCATAGTCGCCTCTTACGACACCTACGGAAAAGAAAGGGGTGGCCTAATCTATGCCGGGACCTACATGATCAAATAAAAAAATAAAATAAATAGATTTTGCTTCACAACAATCAGCTATTTTGCTCTGCAATGAAAAAAGGGTTGCTTCAATTAATTGCGTCATAAAATTAATATGAACCTAACATGGAAGTAGTGGGGGGAAAGGGACTGTTAGCAATGCAGTTTGACATTGCTAGCAATATGCCCTATCAGGTCGACCTCCACGTGGTTCCCCCTGGAAACCATCGTGAACAATTCTTGTTGAATTCGTCACGATGGGCTAACTGACCTGCTTCATGCTCACCTATCATTCTTGACTGGTGCCCCGCCGGTGTATACCGATAGCGCGGGTGGGATTAACATTCCATTGTCAACCATTAAAAAAAAAGACACTAGCGGTTGCCGACCCGTAGTAGTATTATAACTGGGAACAAACTTCGCTTGGATAGCAGACTGGTGTAAATTTGAATTTTACTAGATCGAGCTGTCGATAGGGGGATTTATTAACCTATCTAACTGTATCCTACGGCTTCGTCTGTAGTCGTATCGTGTCGTTAAATAGCCTGCAACCTTCCTCAAGGAATGAGCTAGTAAATACTAAAAGAATGTATTAAAACTAACTAACAGTTCCAGAGATAATTGCTTTAAAACAAACAAAATTATCTGCTTTATGAGTTCCACGAGTATATTAATACAGATGTTTATGATTCTATAAATAAGGACTCGTAATTTTTTTTTATATAACTTAGAATGGCAAACAAGCTGACGGCCCACCTGATGGAAAGTGGTCATCGTCGCCTATAGACATGAGCAGTACCATGGACATAACAGAGTACACTGTATCGCCCATGATACCACCCATGCGTTGCCATTCCTGAGGACTCAGATGTTATTCCTCTGTACCCAGTAAATTCACTGCCATATACCACCCTTCAAACCGAAACACAACCATGCAAACACAACTGCTTCACGGTAGAAACACGAATAGGACAGAGGTACCCAAGCAATCGACTTTTGCACAAAGTCTTCCTCTGGTGAGATTCTGTACCTGAGACACTCTCTCTCATCATATCAGCCATTAACTGTCCACTGCTGAATATAGGCCTTCCCCATAAGGAGGATTTTTGCCACGCTTGGCAGGCGGATTGGCAAACGCAATTACGCTTTGGAGATGTTTTAAGAGGGACGCTGCTGCCCATCCCTCGCTCTCCCTTAGTCGACACCCACGGGATAGGAAGGGGTGGCCTATTCTATGCCGGGACTACGCGGCCTTCTTTTTATAATCGGTTGAAAATATAAATGTGCGGGGTTCGAACCTATGACTATCAGAAGGTGAGGCAGTATATACCGCTAAACCGTCAAGGTCGTTAAATCGATTGACTAATTCGATTAAATTTGATTGTGCAACACGCGCTTTAGTTATAAACTACGTCATATTAATTATAACAGTTTGTAGGCAATATATACATATATACCTGTTTTTAATTTCCTGCCTTAATTTTTTTTAAAATCCACACAAGCTGTAACAATGTTAGGTTAGGTTAGGTTTTTTTTTGATTAGTGAAAATGGTATGGTAACCCTGCCTGCGCTAACGAGATACGCTGGCGGAGCACCAGTGAAGGGTGATAGATGAGAATGAAAACAGGCCAGTTAGCCCATCATGATGAATTCATCAGGAATTAACCATGATAGTTTCCAGGGAAAACCGCGTGGAGGTCTCCCTGGTTGGGTATATTGCTAGCAACGAGATTCTCAGTCTCCATTACTAACAACCCCTTTCCCCCCAATAGGTTAGGTTAGGTTAGGTTTTCAATTCGTGTGAATCCTGATTCCAGTTGTGGCTATGTTATGGGGTAATCTCCATAACATAGCCACAACTGGAATCAGTTTTGTCGACGTAATCGTCGACAATCCTGATTCCAGCAGGACTCTGTATCTAGTCACAAGGCACGAACTACCCAAGCCTGGCTTGAAAGCAACGTTCCGGACTTTATAAGAGCTAAAGACTGGCCCTCATCTAGCCCAGACCTCAATCCTTTAGACTTCAAATTATGGTCAGTTTTCGAGGACATGGCCTACTCTAAACGACACGGCGACATTAAGTCTCTTAAAAAATCTTTGGAACAAGCAGCGGCGATATTTCCCTTGGATACAGTGCGTAGGTAAATCCATAGATTCGTGGCCAGACAGATTAAAGGCCTGTATAAAAGCCAAAGGTGGCCATTTCGACTAGAATATTTGTTTATTTTTTGCTGAGAGTTTAATAAATATGTAGGTATAAATTTTAGTAGTATTACATGACTTCGTAAAGAACTAAATGCATTTTTGTGTGTATGTTTGTAATGAATAAACTCAAAAACTACTTTGCCGATTTCAAAATTCTTTCACCATTAGAAAGATACATTCACTCTGAGTAACATAGGCTATATTTATTGTTAGAAAAGATTAAGGATGCTTACTAAAACTTTAGTAACGTAACTCAAGGTGTAAAAAAATGTTATAAAATATCTTTCGTCGCGTGCGCTGCGGAAACTATCGGTGATAGAACAAAAGTATGTTCTACAATATTGAAGAAAATATCAATAACTACAAAAACCTTCACGATACTATATGTCCAACTATTATCGTTGTGTCACAATAATCACTTTTTAAAATGTTGTAAAAATGTCCACCCGTGCGAAGCCGGGACGGGCCGCTCACATATATACATATATACTAGCGATACCGTTGTATCTTTTCACACAGCGGAATAGTTTGGACAGGATAAAAATTTGTCAAGTTAGGTATTTAGTAATAATTATATATATATATATAATATAATAATTTTGACCTTATATTTGTTTTGACTATCATATATTCAAGAAATATAGATTTTGGTGAGATAAGTTGCGATCGTTAATTGGATGTGATAACATCTCGTTATGTTGGCGATAATGATCTATGTTTGAAGTACGCATTTTACATCGACCCGGAAAATCTGTTAAAAGTTGTATTTTAGTCTAGTTTTAGTGTCCTCAAGCTGTGTGCGTGCTTAGTGTATGAGCGGTAGCGATTTTATAAATACCATCATTATTCAATACATATAGTAAAATCGTAACTGGCTGCTGTCTGTACATGGAAGATATATAAGAAAAACTATTATGAGAGGGCTTTATGAATGCAATAGAATCCAAAATAATTATATTTACAATTTTTGTCTATTTGTCTGTTTGTATGTATGTTTGTGTGTGCTTGCAGATTTGAATGTAGTTTTCACTAATACGTTGCAGGTGCGAGGCTCTTAATAAGAGCAATAGAATCAATTAGAAATTTTGTCTGCCTGTCTGTATGTTTGTTCTGGCATCACGCAACATCTACTACATCAAGTTATAAGCGATTTCCACAGTTGCATTCCTGAAGGTGTAGTTTAAAAATTGGCGTATATTTTATCTTAATACGCAAAATGTAATTATTTCTATAATCTGTTTCATTAGTTTTCCTACATCTAAAATTAATGCTTACGAAGCAGCAGACAAAGAGCTTGTCTGAATTTTTTTTTATATATTTTTTAATTTATGTATTTTTTGTATACATGGACCATGTTGCCTCTGTGTGTGCTCAGGTTGATGATGTGAGGTCACATGTGGTAGTATAATTAAAAAAAAAAACGTGGACATCAAATTCTTTCAATCATCATTATTAAATCAGCCGTTAACTGTCCCTCGCTGAACGTTGGTCTTCTCCATAAGATGGATTTTGTCAGTAGTCGCCACGCTTGGCAAGCGAATTGGTAACCACAGTTAGGCTTTGGTGATGTTTTAAGAGGGATGCTGCTACCCACTCCTCTCAATCCATCCACTCTCTAACCATTAAGTTACCCTTAATCATCTCTTATCACATCCATGGGAAAGAAAGGCGTTGCCCATTCTACGCCGGGACTTACACGGCGGAAAATATTTTCAATGCATGTTGTATTCCATGTTACATTTCGCCCGATCCGTGACCGACGTCAGAAATCCGCTACGCTCGTGCAATGTGGTGTCACCCCGACCGATCGAGCGATCCGTCGTCGCATCGGTTGACTATTTGCAACCCCCTATATAAACGGTAAACTTAAGTTACAAGCAACAGTGACTCCGCCACGTCCTGTACTGTTCATATTCTGTTTTGTTTTTGTCATAAAAAAAAAACAGTTGTTCAGTGGCTGCCAGTGTTTTATTTTTCGATAAATCTTAGGTAAGTCTTATGATAATAAATGTTTGTACTAAAAGTTTTTTTTTTTTTATTTAATTTAAGAAAGCGGCAAAGAAATTTATTTGCCAGTAATAGACGAAAGATTTTGAGAGCAGTGACATTGGTTATTTTTTTTATTACAAAGGATAATTATATATTAAATTTATTTTATGATTTTTATTAACCAATTTTTGTAACAACTTTACATTTGATATTAAAAAATGAAAATAAGTCAGCAGCTTTGCGGGGCAAAATCCTGCAGGTTACGGTGTAAAAACTTTTTGTAGACACGTTCTAAATTCAAATCTATTTTAAAATCTATTATATCTAAGAAATAAACGTTATTTATTGGTACGTTTTATTAGTTTTAAAATAAAAACAGTGTCATTACTAGTCAATATTCATTTTGTAATTATTGAATTTGCTATTTCTTTGCGGAGCAAAATCTACTTATAGTTATAAATCATCATAATCATATCGCCTCGCCTTCCCTCGTCGCCAGTTACAACATACACGGGAAAGGAAGGGGTGGCCTATTCTATGCCGGAACCACACGGCCAAGTAGTCATAGTGTAGAAATTAAAAGTGTGTTTTCCTTTGTCTTTGTTTTTTTCCCTTTTTTTTCTCTTATTTTTATTTTTTATTCTATTATTATTAATTAAAGCATTATTGCTTTAAACATAATTTTAAGAAGTGATAAAGAGATAAATTAAATATTATGAAGGACATTCTTATTTTTTCAGAAAAAAGGCTTCTTTAACAGTGACCAAATTAATATAGCATCAACACGGGAATAAATCCCATTGAATTTATACAATTAAAAAAATACAATATCCTATTATTTAATAACTAATTAATTAAATCAATAATTTAATTAAATATTAATAATAATAATAATTCAGAGAATGCAAAGAGGATGAACGAAATAAAAACAATGGCATTAATCGTTAGGATATATATATAATGAAAACAGGCCAGTTAGCCCATCATGATGAATTCATCAGGAATTAACCATGATAGCTTCCAGGCAGAACCGCGAGGAAGTCGACCTGGTTGGGTATATTGCTAGCAATAGGATTCTCAGTCTCCATTACTGACAATCCCTTTCCCCTCATCCAAGTGCGGTTGCCAACCCGCCTGCCAAGCATGGTGGCTATTGGCAAAACCCCCCATGGAGGAAGCCTATGTTCAGCAGTGGACAGTTACCGGTTAATATGATAATGATAAACAAACAGATAAATTTATATATCAATAAAATAATAAATGTTAAAAATAAAAAATGTTATGTAACCCCCGAGCTGATGACCTTGAAACGCCTGATCATGCGCCATAAATTGTAGCTACGTACTAAGAGCCATCTCGATCACGACAGCTTTCAAACAAAAAATCGCATAATAATTCGTTTAGGAGCTACGATGCCACAGACACAGAAACATGTCAATTTTATAACACCCCTCTTTTTGTGTTGTTGGCTAAAAAGATGTCTGCTGCCAATAGCCTCTATACCTGGGGAGAAATGGATTGTTAGTAACGGGATCTAACTGCCCCATTGCTAGTAATACACCCTATCAGGTCGACTTCCACGTGGTTCCCTCTGGAAACCATCGTGGTTAATTCTAGTGCAATTCATCATGATGGGCTAACTGACCTGCTTTTATCATCACCTATCATCCCTCACTGGTGCCTCGTCAGCACATACCGTTAGCGTAGGTGGTGTGACCATTTCATTATCGCCCATAAAAAAAGCCATACTTTGTAATTTTTCTGCCATGACTGAGAATTATATATAATATTAAATTAATTTAATTATATGCGTGTGAAACATGGACATGGAGGAGAACGGAAAGGATAAGCTGGACAGAAAAACTAAGGAATAAGGAAGTCTTGAAAAAGGAAAATGAGAAACGAACAATAATACAAATAATAGAGAATAGAAGAGGCAAAATGCTGGGCCAGCTTATACGACATGACGATTTTTTAAAGAGGATAGTAGAAGGAAAAATAGAGGGCAAAAGAAGAAGGGGAAGACCGAGGACAGACATGGGACTGATAAAGGAAACACTAGGTGTCATGCCGTATAGGGAGGTCAAAGATATGGCCTGGGATAGAGCTGGCTGGAAGATGCATGAATTATTTGCACCTACAAGAGGAAAGTGTTAAACGAAAAGGAGAGAACTGACTGAGAATCGAACCTAGGACTTAATTAAGAAGCAACGCGTCCACCGCAGCACTACGAAGGGCGATAATTAGCTTATGTTTAATCTCTCTTTAAAATTAATTTACTAATTACTAAGAGAAGGACGGGTGTCGGTCTATTATGAATGTTCAGTGACCTAGTATAGCGTGACACCATACAAAAAGGACGGTAGAATGATTCCACTAAAAGAAATAAGGATATGAACGCTAAATATTTACTAGTCAGACCCGTGACTTTGTCTTTTTTTTATACAACTTAGAATGGCAAACAAGCTGACGGCCCACCTGATGGAAAGTGGTAACCGTCGCCTATAGACATGAGCAGTGCCATGGACATAACAGAGTATACTGTTTCACCCATGATACTCCCCATGCGTTGCCATTCCTGAGGACTCAGATGTTATTCTTTTGTATCCTGTAAATTCACTGTCATATCCCACAAACCGAAACACAGCCATGCAAACACAACTGCTTCACGGTTGAAACACGAATGGGACAGAGGTACCCAAGCAATCGAATTTTGTACAAAGTCTCCCTCTGGTAGTCTATTGTGGTGGTCTATTTTGTAGTTTAAATTAATTTGGAGTAATCGTTTATTTTTAAACGACTCCAAATAGGAACAGGTTTTATTTTTCGATCGGTATTTCTTTTACGTTATTTCATTAGTACTTAGTTATTGCTGTATCAGCCGTTATTTGTCTACGGCCGAACATAGCCTTTTCCAGTATTTACCACGCTTGGCAAGCGGGTTGGCAACCGCAGTTTGGCTTTTAGTGATGTTTTATGAGGAACGCTGATGCCAATCCCTCGAACATAAGTTCTCTTTGTTAGTTAGTTAGTCGCCTGTAATGACACCCACGGGAAAGGAAAAGATGGCCTATTCTATGCTGGGACCACTCAACTAATTTAATACTTTGGACTTATCGTTTATTTTTAACCGACTCCAAAAAGGTGAATGTTTAATTTCTTAATTTTTTCCCCCTAAATATTTCAATACTTCCTTAGTTGTTTTTTGTTTTAATTTTTTTGTTTTATGTGCATGCTGTCGTATGCTTGTGCATAATACATTTTTTTTTCTTTCATACGTTCAACTAGAGTTGAGAACTAAAAATTTTTTTGTGTATGTTTACCGATTTCTCCTGAAAGCTACATTATTAGCGATTCAATTGAATAGTATTTTATTTTCAAAAAACATGCGAAGCCAGGGCATCTGGCTAGTATTTGATAGATACAAAAGATCCTCAGAAAGCCAATCATCTATAAGTAAACTAGTGATACAGTACAGTACTCTCATACATCACAATCCATCAATATTGAATCCTCCAATACGTGATTTAAAAAAAAAAAAAAAAACTCTATGGTATTTGTCTTATTTGAGAATGGTTGATAACATTTTATTTTTAAACGACTATCACGCAGAGGAGTTTCTCAAGTCGCGTGTATTTTTTTTGTTTCTATATTTTGCGTTTTAAAATTTATGGATGAATTAATCTATACTTATAATAAATCTGTAGAGAGGTCAATTCTGTACATGAAATATATTTCCAAAATAACTATCAGGGGGTGATTAGTGATCGATACCGATGCCAAAAATGCAATCAGTAAAATTTACGAGTATGTCTGTCTGTCTGTATGTTCGTTATAGAAACAAAAACTACTAGACGGATTTTAACGAAACTTGGTACAATTATTCTTCATACTCCTGGGCAGGTTACAGTATACTTTTCAACGCGCTACGATCAATAGGAGCAGAGCAGTGAAGGGACATGTTGGGAAAACGGGAGAAGTTACTCCACTTTTAAGCTTCTGTCGCGTGTGCAGTCTTAATGGCCACTTTTAAAAATGTAAAAATGTGCCGCTAGTAATCAATAAATAAACGGATAAGAATTTATTAGGTGACTAGCTATCTCTAGTAACTTTGCCCTTGTGAATGTTGGGTGTGCAAGCAGGTTATTTTGTATTAAATTTCATTAATATCTATTTAAAATACATTTAATATATTATTTCTATTATTAATAAATATTAATAAATACGCACGTCTTTACTATCAGTTGGTATTAAACGAAAAAAAAAGTTAGTCTCACTAGCGCCATCTGTGGCAAAAAATAAATTAATATAAAAAGATTTATTATGATTAAACATGACTGTGTAACAAACATCCAAACATGTTTACAGTTAGCTTCTATATTTATAATGTTAGTAGAATAATACAAAAATTTAATAAATAAAATAATGATTTCACTTGTAACAAAACACCATAAATAATTATAAACAAACCATGAATTACCTCGTAAAAACGTAGATTGAAAATATTCATATTTAGAATATTTCATTTTAGTAATTGAAAAAGGAGATTGTATTTTATGTTCTTACGGTTAAAAGTTCTTATTTTAAAAATAAATAGAAATTTATTATTTGACAAAAAATACAAAGTTACAAATAATTACAATTAAAATGAGTAATAATTATTAAAAAAAAATATATTAAGAAACCTCACTGCCCTGCTGAACACGAACTAAAACTTTTCTCAAACATGCTTGGAAATGTGAGCATTATTTTGACAATCTTCTTCGAGATAAATCAAAATTGCCGTACTGGCCAGATACATGCGGGCAGCGGCCGGCAAAAGTTGTATGAAAATCCATATCTGTCGTGTTTTGCGGCCAGATAAATTACTATGTAAACTCGTATCTGTCCTGTAATTTAAAAATGGAATGACCTATTACTTTGAAATATGGCTACCAAGGAGGTAACTAATAAAAGGTTTTATTTAGATTTCGAACTGGCTTGCAAATAGAAAGCTGTTTATTGAAAAAAAAAAACAAAGGAACATTATGGCGCGTGAAAAATTAATATTGTTCATTATTCGTCATTGAATTTAAAAAGTAAAATTGTGTTTTTGCTTTCCGCGCATTGTTTGAGAAAAGTACTATACAAGCCTTGGCCACAACTAGGCATTCATGGACTCACGTATATGTGCCTCGGCTACGCTTCGGCCCACATTTCACGTTCGTCCGTCAATGCCTCAGTTGCTCGCCGCTGCAGTAATGTACTATGAAGAATAATTTTCACACTTCAAAACGGTGCTTTATAGCTGTCATATTTAATTTATTTTTCAAACATTTACAGCAAAATATCACTCGGGGTGGTATAAGAATTCCAACGATATTCCATACATACAATTCGTGCCGGCATTTAGAAGTTATGTTGAAATAAAGATACCAACATGCATTCATACACACATGAATTCTAAAAATTATAAATTGCTATTTTCGACAGTCGTATAATGAGATTTTTTAATTTAATCCTATTAATTAAGAGTTCTTGTTCCAGAATAACTATTTAACAGTTGATTTTCACGTTAAATTTAAGTGAAAATTGGGTTTTAACAGTAACATTAGTTAGTTAAAACGATAATCCCTAAGTGTAGTATGCGGAAGCCCTACAAACGTTCGACTGGGTCCTATCGCCTTACTGTAGAAAAGGTATATGTAAATACATTATAAAAAAAAACGGGGCCAAATATCTTTTACTAGAATGTTTCCATAATTTACCTACTTTTTACCACTTACTACTTACTCACCAGAGGGAGATTTTGTACAAAAGTCGTTTGCTTGGGCACCTCTATCCTATTCGTGTTTCTACCGTGAAACAGTTGTATTTGCATGGCTCAGTTTCGGTTTGAAGGGTGAGATATGACAGTGAATTTACAGGGTACAGAGGAATAACACCTGAGTCCTCAGGGAGGGCAACGCATGGGGGGTATCATGGGCGAAACAGTATACTTTGTTATGTCCACGGTACTGCCCATGTCTATAGGCGACGGTTACCACTTTCCATCAGGTGGACCGACAGCTTATTTGCCGTTCTAAGTTGCATAAAAAAAACTTTTTACCTAGTAATTTGTACAAGTCGATTTTAGAAGTAGAAGAATGATTGATATACATTGCTTCCCCTACTTCTGGAATACAATGTACTCCTTTGCCTTGTGTATTTTTTTTCAATAGGTGATAATGAAATGGTAATCCCGTCTGCGCTATCGGTATACGCTGGTGGAGCACCAGTAAGGGATGAGAGGTGAGGATGAAAGGGCAGGTCAATTAGCCCACCGTGATAAATACACCTGGAATTCAACACGATGGTTTCCAGGGGGGACCACGTGGAGGTCGACCTGATAGGAACTGAGAGTCTGCATTACTAACAATCCCTTCCCCCCTTGCCGTGTGCATCGTAAGAGGCGACTAAGAGACCTAAATGGTCGAAGGATGAGCAGCAGTATCCTTCTTAAAACATCACCAAAGCCTAACTGCGGTTGCCAACTCGCCTGCCAAGCGTGGCGACTACTGGCAAAACTCACCTTATGGAGGAGATCCTACGTCCAGCAGTGGACAATTAACGGTTGATTGATGAAGATTGAAAGAGTTTGACGTTTATATTTTTTTTATTACAACTCGATATGGTCTACGAATACAGAAAGTAACATATTGATGCAAAAAAAATTCAGACTTGAGACTCTTTGCCTGTTCTTTCGTACGCGTTAATGTCAGAAGCAGGAAAACTAATGAAATGGATTACTTCTAGATAGCATATATATCAAGATGAAACATATATCAGATTTTATATTGTACAATTTTATCTTAATTATAAGCTATTAGAATTATAATAAAGATACAATTGTGTGACTATGTGTGTGTTTGTGTGCGTGCGTGCGTGCGTGGATGCGTGCTTGCGTGCGTGAGTGCGTGCATGCGTGCGTAAATTAAGCAACTTCTAAAACCGAAAGGTTCATATATTCTTTACTATTCATTTCCCAGTAGCTTCGCCCGTGTATATCAATATATTAAAGTATCCTATATATATTCTTTATTGCACCTATTTACCAAGTTAGTGTGTCTTAACTGGATTATATCTACCCGTATTTTTTTTTATACAACTTAGAATGTCCAACAAGCTGACGGCCCACCTGATGGAAAGTGGTAACCGTCGCCTATAGACATGAGCAGTACCATCGACATAACAGTATAGGATTCATATGGGACGTATGATTGCTACCTCAGTGGTATAAAAAAAAAATCATTAAAATTCAGTAGTTTTATCATGAAAGAGTAATAAACAATCATCTATCCATCCATTTTGCATTTATAATATTTAATAACACTCGCTTTTACCTCCGTATTTGTCTGCGTTACCAGGATTAAAAGACTGAGTCTTTTTTCATCGTATACACTTAGTACGTGTATACCGAATTTCGTAGTGATCGGTTTAGGCGTTAAAGCGTTAAATAGTGACAAACAAACAGACTCACTTTCACATTTATAATATTAGTTTTACTACACGTGTATGTGTAGAAAGATAAAACAGTTGTAAATAGTGCGTGTAGTAAGTTTAGATACATAGTTAATTTTTAACTAATTAGTTACTAATTTTATTGAACGATAATCAGTTTTGTAATCATTCGCTTTTATTAACCGTGTTATTTTATTTTTGTCACGTTCTAAGTTTTGCGGTACACGTGTAGATTTTGCTCCACAACATGACTCCAATCGTGGCAAAACCACTTATTTATTATCAAAATTATTACCAAACCACTAGACCGACTTTGATGAAATTTATATAGGATTAATTAGAATATATATGCTTTTGGATAAAAAATGGACTTTCCATATCGGTTTATAATTGACGGAGTTTTGAGGTTACAAACCGAAAAGAGCCGAATAGATTCCCTTCTTTTTTTGAAGTCAGTTATAGCGTATAGAAAAATAACATATGAAATGAAAAATTAAATACAGCTAGTAGTTCCAGAGATTAGCACGTATAAACAAACGAAATTTCATTATTATTAATATAGTAATTGAATTATTTTTTTATTAGCAAATAAAAAATAATTTACAATAATTACAGAGGCGCAATGAACAAGTATTTAATAATAATAATAATTAGAAAATCAATTCAATTCAGCTACAAAACATAACAATATTAAAGATATACATTATATAGTTATACATTAAAATAATAATTATGTGGTAGCAGCTGAAACGGTCACCACTCAGCGTAAGCTGCAGCGTGGTCCTGCAGCGCTGCACTTTTGCTTTTCAGTGTGCCCCCACTCGATAGGTAGCACTCGAGAAACAGGATTAAAGCTATTGTATAATACACTATTTCAAATATATCGTGAATAGATAGATTAGATAGATAGATAGATAATTTATTTGTATTACTTACAGCACACAAATAACAACAGACGTACACAGTAAAAAGAGATAAAATGATGCTTCTACAAAAAAAAAAATGCAAAATATATAAAACAAGTAACATTGTTTTCTTTCATGTGTGTGCCATAGTAACATAAAATGGACACAACTCAGTTTATTGTTTTGCCCTCAAAAGAGCAAAACACTGATATTCTGCTGTGGCCAAGAACCAGTTGAGACGTAGAGTGGACGATTTTTACGTATAGTCGAATAGACGATTTTGCTCTGCAATAAAATAGCGACTCAACTCGTGACAATCTGTTTTGCTCTGCAATAAGGATTTGTCACAAATGAAATAGATAAATGTATATATTTTTGACTGTACTGATACCAACTCGATTATTTGGAAAGTAACAGAGCTATAAACCAGAGGGAGACTTTGTACAAAAGTCGTTTGCTTAGGCACCTCTGTCCCATTCGTGATTCTACCGTGAAGCAGTTGTGTTTGCATGGCTGTGTTTCGGTTTGAAGGGTGGGATATGGCAGTGAATTTACAGGATATAGAGGAATAACACATGAGTCCTCAGGAATGGCAACGTATAGGGGGTATCATGGGCGAAACAGTATACTCTGTTATGTCCATGGTACTGCTCATGTCTATAGGCGACGGTTACCACTTTCCATCAGGTGGACCGTCAGCTTGTTTGCCGTTCTAAGTTGCATAAAAAAGAAAAAAAAAAGAAAATTAGATGAATAAAGAACAACCACAATTTTGGAAATCTTTAAAAATATATTCTTCTTTCAGAACGCAGCGGGAGTTTTGTCGAAGAAGATGGAACACGCGGAGTTCAGGGTAAAAGGTAAGATTTTATTTTTAGGGTTCCGTACCACAAAAGGAAAAATGGAACTATTGTATGCATTCGGCAATTGATTTTTATTAATATATATAGATATACATATATAGAAAGTCGGCGTGTGGTCCCGGCGTAGAATAGGTCACCACTTCCTTTCCCGTGAGTGTCGAGTAAGTGACTAAGGGAGAGTGAGGGATGGGCAGCAGCGTCATTCTTAAATATCCTATCTAGCCTAACTGCGGCTGCCAGGGGGGACAGGGATTGTAAATAGTGAGATCCAACAGACCCATTGCTAGCAATATATCCAAGCAGGTCGACCTCCTCGCGGTTCTCCCTGGAAACTATCATGGTCAATTCCTGATGAATTCATCATGATGGGCTAACTGGCCTGCTTTCATTCTCATCTATCACCCTTCACTGGTGCTCCGCCAGCGTATCCCGTTAGCGCAGGCGGGGTTACCATACCATTTTCACCCGTCAAAAAAAAATTATCTTAATGTATTATTTAATAAATAAAATAAATATTTACGCATTAAAAGATGCAAGCAATGATGTAAATTTAGAAGACAAAATAAATATAGGTTTTATACGGTATATTACACAACGCCACCTAGTTGCAAACTAAGCAGAGTTTATTCTATACTAGTAAGAAAGAAGACAAAAGATCACGCCTCTCACAAACAAGAGTAGAGCTTCGAATCCGGTTTTTTTTTAATAATAATAATAATTCGTGGATGTCACCATACCGCATGACGAGAACCTCGTGAAAGCCGAAACCGAGAAAAAAAGAAAATATCTCGACTTGGCTCACGAGGTGACCGAAATGTGGGGGTGACGTCCACCGAAATCATTCCAATCGTTTTGTCGATGAACGATCTTATCCCAACCAGTCTGGAACAACATCTCAGACGGTTGGGATTCCGGAGCGGCTCACTCCCGGGAAACATGCAGAAAGCGGTGCTCTTAGATTCTGCCCGCATTGTGTGCCGGTTTCTCTCCCTGGGGCTCTGAACCCCGGCCGACTGTGCTTCTGGCGGGGGTTAATTTGCCATCTCCTCTCCTTAAGAGAGATGTAAATTTTCTAAAAATTAAATAAATATGTAACTAATTGTGTGTGTCCATTATTAATTATTATTCAATATATATATATATATATATATATATATATATATATATATATATATACGTATTAATAATATATATAATTATAAAATATATATATAAATATATATATATATATATATATAATATATATAATTTTATTTTATATTCCGATCACGTAGCGATATTCTAATTCTAGTACTAATTGCATTTAGATAATTATTAACGATTGAGAATTATAATGTCAAAGAATTAAAAATAAATAAATTAAATATAGATTAATAATCGCATTATTTATTCCTGTTTTACGTGTGATTTGCCTTGACCTAAATACTAAATAGTATATTTATATATTTATGTTTATGTATTTATTATTTATTTTTTATAAATACATATAATAAATTCGTAACTGGTCATTTTCTGTACATGGAAGATGCGTTGCCATTCCTGAGGAGTCAGGTGTTATTCCTCTGTACATTGTAAATTCATTGCCATATCCCACCCTTCAAACCGAAACACAGTCATGCAAACACAACTGCTTCACGGTAGAAACATGAGTGGGACAGAGGTGCCCAAGTAGGGCGTTAGTTAATATTTATTTCATCCATGCGAGTCCAGGTTATATCACTAGTAATTCAATCAATGAATATACAACTCCTATATCCCAGGGGGGAAGGGATTATTATGCGGACTACTAGTCCCATTGCTAGCAATATACCCTGTCAGGTCGACCTCCACGAGGCCTCCCCTAGAAACCATCATGCTGAATTCCATTTGTATACGTAACGATGGGCTAACTGACCTGCCTTTTCATTTCCACCTATCATTCCTCACTGGTGCCCCGCCAGCGTATACCGTTAGCGCAGACAAGGTCACTATTCCATTATAACCCATAAAAAAATCTCCTATATCCTTTACATATATCACAATAACATTACACCCCTTCCATCGACGCAGTTGAGCAACAGTATCCTTAACATTATCCGATGCAATAAAATGAGATCAACACATTTGTACATCGAAGTCTATATTAAATCGTTTGTTTGTTTATACACTATTTATTGGGTCATTGGATTTACAATATAGCTGGATTTACATGTGATATCTCGATTCGATCTATTGTATACTGAGTCTGATGAACAAACCGATGTATTTTATGTATGTATGTATACATACATACATATCTGTCACGCCTGTCTCCCATTAGGGTAGGCAGAAACAATGGAACGCCAAATGCTCAATCAATCAATCAATTTTTTCATACACGCTCGCCGATTACGGGTACTTTTAATTTGAAAATTATATATATATATATATATATATATATATATATATATATATATATATATATATATATATATATATATGGACAGCAGCGTCCGTTTTAAAACATCTCTAAAGTGTAACTGCGGTATAAAGAACCTGTCAAATAGAAAGAAGGTAATCTTTCACTCGTCGCTTGAAAGCGTCAATGGATTTTATTTAAAATAAAAACCCGTGCAAAACCAGGGAGGGTGACTAGTTATAACTTTATAAATAAAAAAGACTTGTTAACTTGCTCAAACACATTCCGCAATCGAATTAAACATTGTTCACTGCCTTTGTTGAAGTAGCAATCGACTGTGCCCACAAAAGGATTGAAAGAAACTAAATGCACTTGTGGTCGTATAAGAATGCGTTTAATTTGAATCGACTTAGAACATTTTTTTTATACAACTTAGAATGGTAAACAAGCTGACGGCCCACCTGATGGTAAGTGGTAACCGTCGTCTATACACATGAACAGTACCATGGACATAACAGAGTATGCTGTTTCGCCTATGATACCCCCCATGCCTTACCATTCTTGAGGACTTAGGTGTTATTCCTCTGTACCCTGTAAATTCCTGCCCTTCAAACCGAAATACAGCCATGCAAATACAACTGCTTCACGGTAGAAACACGAATGGTACAGAGGTACCCAAGCTAACGACTTTTGTACAAAGTTTCCCTCTGGTACATTTATTATGTACTAACAAATTGCCACCTCTTCGCATAGTTTTGAAAATTAAATATAGCCCATCATCATTATATCAGGTTTTTTTTTTAATGGGTGATAATGGAATGGTAACCCCGCCTGCGCTATTGGTATACACCGGTGCCCAGTGAGAGGTGATAGGTGAGGATGAAAACGGGTCAGTTAGCCCATCGTGACGAATTCCACTAGAATTAACCACGATGGATTCCAGGGGGATCCACGTGGAGGTCGACCTGATAGGGAGTATTGCTTGCAATGGATCAGGTAGACTCTTTTACTAACAATCCCTTAGTCAGGCGTTAACTGTCCATTGTTGATCATAGGCCTTCTCCTATTTGAGAGGTTTTGCCAGTGGTTGCCACGCTTGGCAGGCGGATTGGCAACCGCAGTTAGGCTTTGGTGATGTTTTCAGAGGAACGCTGCTGCCTATCCTTCAATCATTAAGTTCCCTTAGTCGTCTCTTACGATACTCACTGGAAAGGAAGGGGTGGCCCATTCTAAGCCGAGACTATATGTAGATTATATCATAGTTTTTATAGTTAAACGTAGATGACATTTGAATTTGTATTGTATATTTAAGTAAATAATAATCAAAACTGGTCGTGTGGTCCTGGCATAGAATAGGCCACCCCTTCCTTTCCAGTGAGTATCGTATTCCCGTGGATGTCGTAAGAGGCGATTAAGGGATAACGAAAGAGCGCCTTTCTTAAAACATCTTTGAAGTCTAACTGCGGTTGCCAATTTACCTGCCAAGCGTGGCAACTACTGGCAAAACCCCACAAAAGCGAGGCTTTTGTTCAGGTTGACGAATAGTCAAAATTACGTATAGGTAATTAATTTAATTGATGTTAAATTAATCAATTTTCTTTCAGCTAAAGAAATGGTGGACTACATAGCCGACTATCTGGAGAACATTCGAGAGCGTCGCGTCTACCCTGGCGTCCAGCCGGGCTACCTCCATAAGCTGTTACCGACTGAGGCTCCGCAGCAGCCTGAGAAGTGGGATGACATCTTTAAAGATGTCGAAGAGCATATAATGCCGGGGGTACGTGTGTCATATTCATTCAGAGTGATCTGCAGGGGAGGGGGTGGGATTGTTAGTAATGGGCATTAGTAACTAACTGACGGGGCAATAGAGAAAGATGACGGGTGAGAATGAAAAGGCAGGTCAGTTAGCCCATCATGATCAATACACCTGGGATTCAGCATTCAATAGCAGATTTTTACCATTCTTTAAAAAAATCGAATACTCATTCGAGTTTTAGAACTCTGACGAATACTCGACCATGACGACATTGATGGTTAGGAGTTCCACGTACCACTTTATCTTCCAACGGTCGCGGGTTCGATCCTCGCACAATATTTAATTATTTGTACAAATAACTTTATTGACCAAAAGAAATAATGTTACAAAAGGCGTACTTAATGCTAGTAGCATTCTCTACCAGTCAACCTCTGGGATGAACAGTGAATCACGTACGCTGTACTTCATTATTGGGATAGGTAAAAGTAATATACTGGTAACTGGACCTTATCAATGATATCAATATTATATATTAATATAATAATATATTATTTATTGTATAATATATAAAATACAAAAAGAATCGATATAATCCATACACCAGTTTTTATATTAGACTTCTGAGAACACAACTGTTTTTACTCAAAAGAATGAATGGCTTAAAATTTTTTTTTTATGCAACTTAGAATGGCAAACAAGCTGACGGTCCACCTGATGAAAAGTGGCAATTGTTGCCAATAGACATGAGCAGTACCATGAACATAACAAAAAGTATACTGTTTCGCCCATGATACCTCTCATGCGTTGCCATTCCTGAAGATTTAGGTGTTATTCCTCTGTACCTTGTAAATTCACTACCTAAACTGACCCTTTAAACCGAAACACAGCAGTGCAAACGATTGTGTCACTGTAGAAACACGAATGGAACAGAGGTGCTCAAGCAAACGACTTTTGTACAAAATCTCCCTCTGGTAATTTTCTAAAAAGCCCTTGATCAGGAATTTTGAATGATTTAATCCTGGCAACAAGAGCCAATTATTAACAGTTTTTTTTTATACAATTTAGAATGGCAAACAAGCTGACGGTCCACCTGATGAAAAGTGGTAATCGTCGCCAATAGACATGAGCAGTACCATAAACATAACAAAAAGTATACTGTTTCGCCCATGATACCTCTCATGCGTTGCCATTCCTGAGGACTTAGGTGTTATTCCTCTGTACCTTGTAAATTCACTACCTAAACTGACCCTTTAAACCGAAACACAGCCATGCAAACACAACTGTTTCACGGTAGAAACAAGAATAGAACAGAGGTGCCCAAGCCAATAATTTTCGTACAAACTCTCCCTCTGGTAATTTTCTAAAAACCCCTTAATCAGGGCTCATGAATGATTTAATCCTGGCAATAGGAGCCAGATATTAACTATTTTATTACATTAGTAAGATGGTACTGAATTTCGTATTGATGGTATTACGGAGCGGTGGACTGTGATGAGGTGATGAAATGATGTAGACACGGAATTTAGTAGCGAAATATATGTATTGAACAGCGAGCAAGGAACAATAATGATATGTCAAAAAATATAAAATTGAAATTACAAATAATAAGAATATTCTAAAAGTAAATGTATATAAAAAAGTATAATAACGTCTAAAGAGTTTGCATCGGCCGGTCGCCAATAGATGGTATATATCTTTAACAGTTGGTCCACTGGCAGAGCCCCCATATGCACGCTTACTTCCCAGCCCTGACTTCATACCCGTCTATCATGGGAGACATGCTTTCCAGCGCCCTCAATGTACTCTGCTTCACTTGGGTAAGACCTTCCTATAATTTTTATTGCTAGCTTTTACCGGTAACATGTATGCTTGGATTTCGAACCAATGAAATCGGCAATACGTACGTGACACTTCTAGTGTTGCAGGCATCCACAGTGACCGTTTACCATCAGACAGGTTGTATGCTTGTTTATCACTTTTGTGGTATAAAAGAAATTCATTTATTTAATTTTAATTTAATTTATTTATTTTGTAATACATAGGTAGATAATAATGGATGGCAAAACAAGATAAGTCCTCTATAATCGACATCATACATCGAGGTATACAAATTTACAAACATACATAAAAGAAGAAAACAAATGAAATACGATAATATCATTTAAAGTATAAAAAGTTAAATAAATATAAAATTGTGTTCCACAAAAAAAAAGTACAACCGAAATGAAAACTTCTTTCTGAAGTCAGTTAAAAACGATTTCAGTTTATGCAAGTTTTCCAGTTATTTTGATTCTAAATATAAATCTCTTAGATTTAAACTATTAAACCGATTTTGATAAAAATCCTATGGGGCCAATCCGAATGTACCTTCAGATAAAAAACGAATTATCCAGATCGGTTTACAAATGGCGGAGTTCTAAGGTAACGGATTGAGCACCTCTTCCATTTTTGAAGTCCTTCGAAAATTATATTAAAATAGAACTAAAAGGAACGCTTCCGTTGCAGGCGTCGTCGCCAGCTGGTACAGAATTAGAGACCATTGCCATGAACTGGCTCGGCAAGCTACTGGGCCTTCCTGACTGCTTCCTCAACGAGAAGAACGATAGTCCGGGCGGTGGAGTCATTCAGGTATGTCTTTGAACATCACTGCCAAATCTAGGTGAAGCATATATATCGGAACGGTCAAACACAAATTTTTAAAACAAACAGTTTTTTAATTAAGCACAGCTCATATCAGCATTATCACCGTCTGGAATAAAATCTCTGTAGACCTACGCAGATCACCGAATAACACCTGAGATCTCAGAAATGGCAACGCATGGGGGGTATCATGGGCGAAACAGTACACTCTGTTATGTCCATGGTACTGCTCATGTCTATAGGCGACGGTTACCACTTTCTATCAGGTGGGCCGTCAGCTTGTTTGCCATTCTAAGTTGTATAAAAAAAAAACCTAAATTAATACCTATACCTGTGGATGTCAATAAGGGTTTGTTCAAATATTCTAAATAGATATATGATTTTTTTTAAATCAATAAACTCATATTATAAGATATCAACTTTAAAAACCTTTTCACCAATAGAAAACATTGTCAGCGGGTATTATGGGCTGTATTTAATTAATATAATAAATAAATAAATGCATAGCTGAGGCTAGTCGTTGGTTATTGATATTTTTATATAAATTCCACCTTCTTATTAATAGATCCTTCGTTGATTTTTCACAATAACCGTTAGCGGTCCATTAATTTGCTTTCAAACTGTACAGCAAAGTAATCATATCGCGCTATGGTATCTTCGAGGACTTTTATCTGAATTCATCATTAACGTCCAGTCACCCAGACCGGCTGTCGTTGTTTTTGGTAGTATAATTAAATATTAAAATGTGTTGACACAATAAATTAGAATTAAATAATTTAACTACCAGAGGGAGATTTTTGTACAAAAGTCATTTGCTTGGGTACCTCTGTCCTATTCGTGTTTCTACCGTGAAGCAGTTGTGTTTGCATGGCTGTGTTTCGGTTTGAAGGGTGGGATATAGCAGCAAATTTACAGGGTACAGAGGTATAACAGAGTCCTCAGGAATGGCAACGCATGGGAGGTATCGTGGGCGAAACAGTATACTCTGTTATGTCCATGGTACTGCTCATGTCTATAGGTGACGGTTACCACTTTCCATCAGGTGGGTGGTGTGGCCTGTTTGCTATTCTAAGTTGCATAAAAAAAAGAAACAAGTTAAATTTGAAAATATTAGCATTTAACCTTTTTAATTGAGTAAAAACTGAATATTTATTCTTTTTTCTTATAATTTGCCTATCTATCGTCGTTAAACGTAATTTAAAACTCAAGAATACTACTGATTATATATATTTTTTAATTGTTTTTAAGGGAGATTTTTTTTCATTCAGACGACAGCGAGTGAAGCAACGCTTGTTAGTTTGCTAGCAGCTCGCACCAGGGCACTCATGGAGCTTGCCAAGTTGAACCCTGAGCTCCAGTCATCGGAACTGCTCGGCCACCTGATCTGCTACTGTTCTGATCAGGCCCACTCCTCAGTTGAGAAGGCGGGATTGATTGGTGAGTTTTGTTGTTTTAATTATTTATGTAACTTCTAAATTTGTTTCTTTCAGCTCTGAACCGATTTTCATGACTATTTTTGAGAACTATAGGGTTTAATCTCACGGTGGTCCTATACTAATTATATGATTATACAACTTTTTGTTTGACTTTGCAAAGTAGAAAACTGATTTTTTAAAAGCGATTTTACGAAATAGATATTTCAATATAAGATGTCCATGAAATAATATACGAGGATAAACACACACCGTTTAAAAACAAATTTTTTTATTTATATATTTATTTATTTAAAGGATCACCAACATAAGATACAGCAAAACATTTCAATACAATACACTTTATTATACACATACACTATATTAGATCTAACTGTTCTTATATATAGAGGCAATCACAGCATGCTTCGTGTTAGATAAACATTAAAATGGAATTAAATTAAATAATTTGATAATGTAATTTTAGATAAATATCTATTCCATTTCAACCAGGTCTGGTCAGGATGAGATACATCGAATCTGACGAGAACCAGAGCATGCGCGGGGCTCAACTGGAGGAAGCCATCATCAGCGACAAGGCTAAAGGCCTGGTGCCGTTTTGGGTAAGTTTCCTATTAGTTTTTTTTTATACTATTAAGTTTGCAAACATGCTTACGGCCATTTGATGGTAAACGGTCACTGTAGCCTCTGGATACTTGTAATTCTAACGATTACACGCGTCTTGTTGTCCCTTAAGAAAATTTATTACGCCCTTTTTAAAGAAATTAATGCTGCAGTCTCTAAGGATAATCTCAGCTTGACTGTCTACCGTGAAACACAAAAGGGAGGGGGGGAGGGATTATTAGTATTAGGTTCTAACAGTGCATTGCTGATTGTTAGTAATGGAGACTGAGAATCCCATTGCTAGCAATATACCCAACCAGGTCGACCTCCTCGCGGTTCTCCCTGGAAATCTATCATGGTTAATTCCTGATGAGTTCATCATGATGGGCTAACTGGCCTGTTTTCATTCTCATTTATCACCCTTCACTGGTGCTCCGTCAGCGTATCCCGTTAGCGCAGGCGGGGTTACCATACCATTTCCACCCATAAAAAAAAAACAGTCCATTGCTAACAATACACCATGTCAGGTCGACCTCCACGCCGTTCCTCCTGAAAACCATTGTGATTAGTCTTAGATTAGGTAACCATCGCCTATAGACATGAGCAGTACCAAGGACATAACAGAGTATACTATTTCGCCCAAGATACACCCCATGCGTTGCCATTCCTGAGGACTCAGATGTTATTCCTCTGTACCCAGTAAATTTACGCCATATCTCACCCTTCAAACCGAAACACAGTCATGCAAACACAACTGCTTCACGGTTAAAAATTTAAATGAAGCAGACGACTTTTGTACAAACTTTTTAATCTTATCAATTAATTTTCCGATGGACATTTAAATTTGGACTTTTGTTGCAAACTCTTTCGTTTATTATGAATTTTATTTTTTTATTTTTTTATACTTTTAACGGCTATAAGGGCAGAAAAAGACTTAAAAATAGGTACATGTATGTAAAAGACAAGGATGAAGAGAGTAAATGATATGGCCAGAATGGAAGTGAACGCGGAAAAGGCTGAATAGAGAAGAATGGAAGAAAAAAAAAATATTACGCTGACCCCAAATAAATAATTTGTGTGATGATTTTTAAAACTCTTTTATTATTTAGTTCGCTGTCTTAATCTTTGTGTACTTTCGTTGTTTCTTGAGTTGTTGTTTTTTTTTTTAACTCCATTGTTTCATTATAAAAAATATATACAGCATACAGTCCATAGTATCGTCCACGACTTTAACATCCATGTTTTTGACCAGCAAAAAAGAAAAAAATAAAATTGCATTATTATAGTATAAAATTAATTCGAGAAATCCTTCATAATTCTCTTGTGGCCAATGGAAAATATATTTAAAACCACTCCAATTAGTATCCGCGGAAAGATCTGATGTTTCCATTTTAAAATGGCCTCACAGTTGTTGTATTCCCTGTGAGACCAATTTGTTTTAGAGATTAGGAATGTCAGGAATTGGGGCATGGTCTAAGTGAAAAGCGGTGGGCGGAGTAAGATTGTTTATACTTAATTGGGTCGAGCTTGAAATACGAGTTTATATCAGTAAATATTATTAGTTAGATAGATAATTTATTTACATTACTTACAACACACAAATTACAATAAAAAAAAACACATAATACACAGTAAAAGAGATAAAAGAATGAAAATAAAAAAAAGCACAAAACAAAAAAAAAAAACAAAATATATAAACTAACAATTTCCTTTCTTTCCTTTCCTTCATGCGTGTGCCATAGTAACACAAAATGGTCACAACTCAGTTTATTGCTTCGTCATTAAAAGAGCCCTATTGTAGATATTGTTTTACTCTCTACTGACCTCTTATGCTACTGAGCTTGTAAATTAATCGAAATAGAAAAAAAGAGAACACTTGTCGCAAAACGTGCGTGGACGAAATTACAGTTGGAGATTGAAGGCTAATATGGCTAGTTGCAAAACTTCTGATAATAATTGATGTCAGTCAATCTTCGAGTGTTGGCAGTCATGCACATACTAATGATACCAGAAATAAACCAATATATAAAATTAAACAAAATAATGCTAATTAAGTAACCATTTCAAACAATATAAGTCTTACTTAAATAAAGTTTATTTTGATTTGATTTGATTACTATTGCTTATTTGTTTATTTATTGAACCTAAACAATAATGCAAATAATTTGTAAGATTTAATTGTAAACTTACGGACTTTGTTTATATTTAGCTATCTTCAGTAAATAATTTAATTAACTTATTTATTTTATTTAACCTCATTCATTAGAGTGATTATAGCAAATTGGTTGTCATTATTCGCTATCAGACTACTAAATCCATGTTCCTATAACTTGGGCCAGATCTTATCTAGTTTAATAACTCTCTATAACTGGAGCTCTCTATAACTTTTTTAAAGTTGATATTTTACTAATAATGATACATATCCATCTATACATGTATATTTCTCATGTAACAACGGAACGATGGTTATTGTTTCACATGGGTTTTTATTTTTGTATCGAAACAAGAGAGATAAAGATAAATTTTCGACCGACTTCAAAACAAGAAGAAATTCTAATTTCGACTTCTAATCTTACATTATATAGATAGAGTACCTCTATACAAATCATTATCATATCGGTCGTTAAGTGTTCACTGCTGAACATAGGCCTCCCTCATAAAGGGGGTCTTGTCAGTATTTGCCACGCTTTTTAGTCGGGTTGGCAAGCGTAGGTAGACTTTTAGTCATGTTTCAAAAGAGGCTGCTACTCATCCCTCTATTGTTAAGTTTCCTTAGTCACCTCTTATGACATTCACGGGAAAGGAAAGGGTGGCCCATTTTATACTTACAGTATTTACCAGAGGGAGATTTTGTTTGCACGGCTGTGTTTCGGTTTGAAGGGTGGGATATGGCGTGAATTTACAGGGTACAGAGGAATAACACCTGAGTCCTCAGGAATGGCAACGCATGGGGGTATCATGGGCGAAATAGTATACTCTGTTATGTCCATGGCACTGCTCATGTCTATAGGCGACGGTTATCACTTTCCATAAGGAGGGCCGTCAGCTAAGTTGCCATTCTAAGTTGTATAAAAAAAGCATACAAATTACAATACAAACATACACATAATACACAGTAAAAGAGATAAAAGTATGAAAAACAAAAAAAAAAAGCAACATAAAAACCAAAAAGAAAAATATATAAAACAACAATTTCTTTTTTTTCATGCGTGTGCCATAGTAACACAAAATGGTCACAACTCAGTTTATTGCTTTGCTTTCAAAAGAGCAAAACACTGATATTCTGTTGTGGCCACATATTATATTAGAAAAAAATAGTCTTTCTTTTTATACGACTTAGAATGGCAAACAAGCTGACGGCCCACCTGATGGAAAGTGGTAACCGTCGCCTATAGACATGAGCAGTACCATGGACATAACAGTACACACATACTGTTTCGCCTATGATACCCCCATGCGTTGCTATTCCTGAGGACTCAGGTGTTATTCCTCTGTACCATGTAAATTCACGCTATATCCAACCCTTCAAACCGAAACACATCCATGCAAACACAATTGCTTCACGGTAGAAACGGTAAACACGGTAGTCCCCAATTTAAATTTTTAAAATTTATACGGTCTGGGAAATTTATTATCAAATTACTAAGAGATTTGAGCGCGCATTGTTTATAAAGATTTCCATTAAAAAAAATGCCAATGTCACATTTCACTAATTGAAATTTGAATTATTTTTGACACTCAGTACTCTTTCTATATTGTATGGGTTAGAGGTATATGTTGTAGGCATTTTTAGATATATGAAACATACTAGTCTCGTTTCTATGCCTATCAGTAATGCTATTAAAACCTGCATGTGATACGTCGATAGACGTGAGTTCATAAGTGGATTTTAATAGAATACGCGACCTTATATTACAATGTACATATATTAAAGATTGTTTTTGTAAGTTTTCTCTATCTGATTACACGATGTAGCTATTCTATATCTAAGACTAGTTCTTTTTTTATGCAACTTAGAATGGCGAACAAGCTGATGGCCCACCTGATGGAAAGTGGTAACCGTCGCCTATAGACATGAACAGTACCATGGACATAACAGAGTATACTGTTTCGCTCATGCTACCCCCCATGCGTTGCCATTCCTGAGGACTCGGGTGTTATTCCTATGTACCCTGTAAATTCATTGCCATATCCACTCCTTCAAACCGAAACACAGCCATGCAAACACAACTGCTTCACGGTAGAAACACGAATAGACACGATAGACCGAAGCAAATGACTTTTGTACAAAGTCTCCCTCTGGTAATTTGTTGGAAGTTGTAGAGTTTTGCTCGCCTTTGTATATTTACTTACTGCTGTTATATTAATTTATTTTTGTTATATTAATGTGTACAATAAAGTAATAAATGAATAAATATAGGTGTACCTATGAAACATCTTAACATTAAATATTTATTTATTTATATTTTTGCATTCTTTAAAATATTTCTACAGGATGGACTTAGTGACCTAATGGCATTCTCTTGGTAGAGACTGACTTGATAGAGGTTGACTGGTGTCAACCGTTACGCTAAACAGAGAAAGAGGGAGAGAGAGAGAATGGTGATGCATTGATTTAACAAAAACATTTATTTTTTAAATTAAATAAATATTTTAAGAGATAACAACATTAAATACATAATAAATGATGGAAGTAATTTTTTTGCTAAACAAACAATTATTTTTCAATCGGCTTCAAAAAGATGGAGGTTCCCCAATTCGGTTGTATTTTTTATGTATGTTACCTCATAACTCCGTCAGTTGTAAACCGATTTGGAAAATTATTTTTTTATCTGAAAGGAAATACTTACAGATTGGTCCCATAGTATCAAAATCAATAGTTTAGTTCAATAGTTTAGTTTTTATATTTAAATAACTGGTGTATGGATGGGATATGGCAAGGAAGTTACGGGGTACAGAGGAATAACACCAGAGTCCTCAGGAATAGCAACGCATGGAACGTATCATGGGCGAAACAGTATACTCTGTTATGTCTATAGGCGACGGTTACCACTTTTCATCAGGTGGGTTGTCAGCTTGTTTGCCATTCTAAGATGCATAAAAAAAAACTGAAGTCGATATTTTTTGCCAAAAACAATCTTAATAATTACATGGTATAAAAGTGTGTGAATAAAAAAAAAATATGTATTGTAAATTGTCCATTCCAGGTGTGTGCAACATTGGGAACCACGGGGTCGGTTGCCTTCGACAACCTGCGGGAGGTGGGTCAAGTGTGTGAGAAGCACTCCGCTTGGTTGCACGTGGACGCGGCATACGCTGGCAGCGCCTTCATATGTCCTGAGTACAGGTGGGTGGGAAGCTCATCGCCATTTTTCTGCTCTTATCCCAATTGTTTGGGGTTGGCAAAATGTGTTTTATTCATAGCTTGGTTTTTGTCTTGTCAACTAGGGGTGAGTAATATATAACAGTTTTTTTTATGCAACTTAGAATGGCAAACAAGCTGACGGCCCACCTGATAGAAAGTGGAAACCATCGCCTATAGACATGAGCAGTATGGACATAACAGAGTATACGGTTTCGTCCATGATACATCCCATGCGTTGCCATTCCTGAGAACTTTTGTTATTTCTCTGTACCCTGTAAATTCACTTCCATATCCTACACACACCCATGGGAAAGAATGGGATATACAGCTAGATAAAATTGCTAAAAATTATTGTTTTGGCTGTTCTTTCAAAGAAAAGTAGATTTTAATTTTTACTTAAATTTTCAGGCACTGGCTGGATGGAGTAGAATTGGCAGACTCGTTCGCGTTCAACCCTTCCAAGTGGTTGATGGTGAACTTTGACTGTACCGCCATGTGGTAAGTGTATTATTATGGGAAATTCCTCCCTCAGTGATGCAATGGCAAGAGTATTACTTACGACGACTATCTATACTATTATTAGTAAAGGGGGGGAAGGGATTGTTAGTAATGCGGACTACCAGTTTAATGCATTGGCTGGCGTATTGCTTTGCGTGATGAGGTACCGGGTTCGATTCTCGGTCAGACCAATTTAAGAAATGAGGTTATCTTAATTGGCTCGTGTGTGGGGTTTTTGGGTTGTGCCTTTGGAGGCAACGAACATCAGGCTGTTCCTCACCAAATTTCTCATAACTTATCTTGGCTTGAGAAACAGACGATTGGAGTTATTGCATGACATTTATTTTTTATCTCTTTCTCTTTACGCCAATTCTCTTGCGGGGTAGGCAGAAAGAACCGATTGCTATTGACCTCTTTCCTTATATACATCTCTTGCTTCCTGCACTTTTATAAGGTTCACCCTGGATACCATACCATATCACACCATATCAGCCGTTGACTGTCCACTGCTGAACATGAGTCTCTCTCTAATGGGGGGGTTTTGCCGGTAGTTGCCACGCTTGGCAGGCGGGCTGGCAACCGCAATTAGGCTTCGGTGAAGTTTTAAGAGAGACGCTGCTGCCCATGTCTCGATCATTAGGTTTTCTTAGTCACCTCTTACGACATCTCATGGGAAAGGAAGGGGTGGTCCATTCTATGCCGGGACTACACGTCAACGGGACCTTCGATACATTCTTGGATAATTATTGATGAATTAGCCATGATGAGGCAACTGACCTACCATCCTCACCTATGATCACTCATCGGTATCCTGCCTATATATACGGAGAGCACAGGTGGGGGCTATCAACTCTATTTACATCCATAATAGCAGTTCCATCAAAATCGGTTCAGTAGTCTGATTTTTAAATTAAAATAACAGATTTTGCCACGTCTGAAGTTAATGGGGTTCTTTTATTTTAGATTAAAATCTATTTGTGTGATTTTGACACGACCATTTGTCTTTGTTTCAGGGTCAAAGATAGTACAGCACTTCATAGAACATTTAATGTGAACCCCATTTATTTGAGGCACGAGAATTCAGGTAATTTCTGTCATGCCACTTTTAGACATTATCTATACTATTAATTAGTAAAAGGGGGGGGGGGAGGGATTGTTAGTAATGCGGACTACCAGTCCAATTACTAGCAATATGTCCTGTTAAGTTGAACTTCTCGCGCTATATACATATACAACTTAGAATGGCAAACAAGCTGACGGTCCACCTGATGGAAAGTGGTAACCGTCGCCTATAGACATGAGCAGTACCATGGACATAACAGAGTACACTGTTTCGCCCATGATACCTCCTATGCGTTGCCATTCCTGAGGACTCAGGCGTTATTCCTCTGTACCCAGTAAATTCACGCCATATCCCACCCTTCAAACCGAAACACGGCCATGCAAACACAACTGCTTCACGGTTGAAACACGAATGGAACAGAGGTACCCAAGCAATCGGCTTTTGTATAAAGTCTCCATCTGGTAAATACCATCGTGCTGAATTCCAGGTGTATTCATCACGATGAACTAATTGACCTGCCTTTTCATTCTCACCAGTCGTCATTTATAATGTTGCATGTTCTTGTAACTTGTAAGTTTCAATTTTATCTACACAAAATTTGGCGAACATATAAATCTAAATTTTTTCCTCAGCGGAGTCGAAACGACGTATGAATTAATGAATAAATTTTTATTTACTAAATATTGGTGATGGGCAGTAGCAAATCTTAAAATTAATTACAAATGCTCAGGAATATTTACCGCTATATAATAATATAGCCTTTATTCAGATCAACTTAGTACATTAAAAACAAACATAAAATAAAAAGAAAAAAAAAAAAACTTAAAGTAACTTATTCTAATAATTGTTTCTTATTTATTTTTTGAAGATCTGTTTGCCATTTGGCAAAGGCCTCCTCCAACCGTTTCCACTCTCGCCTATCCTGAGCCACTCTGTCCCACATTTTTTCTGCCACTTCCCTAATGTCATCATCCCATCTTTTTCCCTGTTTTTTTTTTTTTAATTACTAAAGCAACACAGTCATAATATTACTATAAATTACAATTGTTAATAATAAGTCATGTTATGTTTTTACAGTAAGTAGATAGACTCTTTATTGTTTCCTCCATAAGATTACAATAGTAAACTTGTTAATACAAACAATTACAAGAACATTTACACTAAGAAAACAATTGGCGGTCTTATCGCTAAGAGCGATCTCTTCCAGGCAACCTTTGCATGGAGAAGACTCATTATAAACAGTTTGAGTGGAGGCACGAAACTCTGTTCGTTTTATAAATACATATAGAGATATATATATATATATATATATATATACGTATAATGATGTATATTTGTAATATTGAACTTGGTTTTGTTAAAATTTATTTTACATTATTTCATAAAAATTGACTGTAATCATTTTATATTCTTTTTATTTACAGGCAAAGCTATCGACTATATGGTAAGCTATTATTTTATATTTAATTAATTTATAATTTGTTCCAATCCAATTTAATTCTATTTAATTTCAATAGATTGGGAATTAACTAATTAATATGTTTCATTTAATTTCTATTAATTTTTTTAATTACTTTTTTGTTCATAATAGTAGTTTAATAAATTCTGTTCTATTCTAAATTTGTATAAATAATGTTTATTTACTTTTTATTTAATTATTTACTATCAATGTCTCCATTTAATAATCAGTTGGGTACGCAAAAAGCAAATACTCGAAGAAAATTTCGCACCAAAGATGATGGGGAAAATTTTGATAAATCACCAAATACAAAAAGTGATGCATCAATTGTTAATGAAGTTGATAATGACAAGCATGCTATTATGAATGGTGATCTCAAAAAAGCTGATGATGTTGAAGTTACTGATAGAAATAAGGATGTGTCTGATGATAAAACTGACGATACAAATGACCTGTATAATAATGAAAGAAACCTTCATGGATACAACAAGATATCGCATGGATGTGGAAAAACTATACAACTGGAGAATCCTGATAAAAAGGAGATGCTTGTAAGAATTTTAAAATTAGGTGATGGGTTAATTTGTTGATAGTGATGGTGATTGGAAATGATGATTAATACTAAACGTTTTAAACTTCATCATTTTATTATATAAGTTATTACTGACTAACATTTTTGTCTTCATTTCTCCATTTTTCTTTTACTATATATAAAGAAACATACAATTCTAGGAAAAAAACCTCTTTATTTGTATATCCAAATCTGTTTATAGCTTTCTTTTATCAAACACACAAGCGATTAAAGATTAATTTTAAAAATTATACAACAAAACTAATAATTGTTTGTAAAATAAACGCATGCGATTTTTATAAAGCACGCTTGTATCTGTTATGAGAACTTGAAAAAATCCAATAAAATTAATAAAATTTTGCTTGTTTAAAAAGTTAATTTTAAGTACATTGTAATAATTATTTTTCATTCTTATTCCATGCTTATATATCATCTATATGTTTACAGCATTGGCAAATACCATTGAGTCGACGTTTTAGAGCTTTGAAGCTATGGTTCGTATTGAGGAATTATGGTGTCTCCGGGATTCAGAAGCATATCCGAGAAGTTAGTATGATCATTATAATGTCTTGTGTTATTCTTTTTCCTTTTCATTTATAACTTTTCTCTTGTCGGAGCAACTAATTCATGCATTCTCTTCCAGCCAGCTCTATCCCAAGCCATATTATTGATCTTCCTATACGATATAACGTCTAGTATTTCCTTTATATATTCCATGTAGTTATTTTTCGGTCTTCCTCTTCCTTTTTTGTCTTCTATTTTCCTTCTAGTATACTCTTTAAAAAATCGTCATGTATTATAAAGGGAATTAGCATTTTGCTTCTTCTATTGTTTTTATTAATGTTCTTTTCTCATTCACCCTCAATCATTATCAGTCTCGAATTTATTATCATAGTTTTTTGTTGTTACTATTATTTTTGTCTTCTGTATCGGTCTTAATATAGTCATGTCCTCAGTCACGTCATATAACAAAACTATATATATACCTTATATCGCATAGATCAACAATATAACTTTGTGTTTCTACTTTAACTAGTTCATCTTTGTCTTTAGTATCATTATGACTATGAATATTTCTATTATTTTTAAAGTTATTTTCTTTTCATGTACACGTATCAACTTTATCTCATTTCTTTTCATAATGTGCACGTGCAGACTTTATTTATCCATTTTATTTATATCATTTTTCATTTATTAAGCTATTTGTTACTTTGCATAATTTAGGCGAAGAGATTAAATCTTTATTTTTTTTTCGTATTTCAGAGTGTCCGTTTAGCTCAAAAATTTGAAGCCCTAGTTTTAGCTGATCAGAGATTTGAAATTCCACAACCAAGGAATTTAGGTATGTATAATAGACTAATATTATTGCTGCGCAACAAAAGCGAAAGCAAATAAAATGGTAACCCCGTCGTATGCGTTATCAGCGTATGCTGGCGATACAAAACTGAGATGAGATAGGAGAGGGTGAAAGCAGGTTATTTAGCCCATGGAGATAAATTCGATAATAATTAACTGCAATGGTTTCTAATGGGAACCACATGGAGGACGACCTGACAAGTTTTAGGTGGCCTATTTACAATTCTAATTTGCATAAAATTATATACAATTTTAGGTATGGTTGCGTTCAGATTGAAGGGGGATAATGCACTCACCGAGCGCTTATTAAAGCGGTTGAATGCTCGTGGCTTCATACACGCAGTACCAGCTTGCTTCAAGGGCATTTATGTGATCAGATTCACAGTGACCTCTCAGCGGACTACCAATCAGGACATCTTGGGTGAGTTACTTCTTTATGGGATTTTTGTGGTGCAGTATTTGGTACTGTTTTGAATAATTTTCATAATTTTGCATATTTACGAGTATATAGCTCGGGCTTTATTCTGGTTTAGTTCGTTTTAAGAATCCGTTCTATGTTTCTATGGGTGCTCTACACTTTGCCCTAAGAGTTCTCTGGTAATTTTTGTATGCTACCTTAAAATATACGAAGGTATCTGATGTGATTTATTGAAGGATATGGATTCATTTAATCAAAATATAAATTTAATTATACACATGGAATTAAAATTTTAACAACAACATACAATTCATACAATAACACAATCATTTAATAATTCAATTAATAAAGAAACCAACTAGAAGTACCACTCCTTTCTAACCTATAATCCAATAACATAAAACAGGTCGCCCCTTTCTTTTCTATGGGTGTCGTAAGAGACGATTAAGGGAATTTAATGGTTGAGGGATGGGCAGCAGCGTCCCCCTTAAAACGTCACCAAAGTCTTACTGCGGTTATCAACTCCAACCAGGGCAACTACTAGCAAAACCCCATCAATAAGGGGAGGCCTATGTTCAACAGTAAATAGTTGACGTCAGATATGATGATGATGATCTATTTATTAATGTTTTGGTTCCTTTTTTAATTTCAGACGATTGGAATGAAATTAAGACGGTGGCAAAGGAAATACTTATAGACGTATTTGGTTCGGAGAATGGTAATATCATTGTACCAAAGAAACCAAGAATTTCCTTGAAAGGTAAGTACAGTATAAGATATACAACAAGACGTACAATATAATTAAGGTTGCCTGGAAGAGATCGCTATCTAGCGATAAGGCCGCCCATTGTTGCTTCTTTCACTTGCTTTTATGTAATGAAGTTTATGTGATTAATTATTAATATTGTTTGTGTACATACTGTTAATATTTATAATCTGTATCACTCTTTGAAAGGAATAATCAAGAGTGTGAGTGAGTGTCAATTCATTCATTCGTATATTAAGATCATTAACAATTTGAATCAAGTACTAGAACAACTTTAAAGTTTGTTAATTAAAATTAATTAGTAGCTACTGATAGACAGATAGATAATTTATTTTCATTACTTACAACACAAACAATAACAATACAAACATACACATAATATAAACAAACACAGTAAAAAAGATAAAAGAATGAAAAATTAAAAAAAAAAGCAACAAAAAGAAACAAAAAGCAAAATAAATAAAACAACAATTTCCTTCTTTCATACGTGTATAGCACAAAGTGGTCACAACTCAGTTTATTGCTTTGCCTTCAAAAGAGCACTGATATTCTGTTGTGGCCAATAATATCTATTGCTACTAATTCGTTTTAATTAACAATTGATAATAAAAAAATTATAAAATTGTAATCATTTATAGAAACTCGAGAACTTAATGCAACGTTTGGAACCAGCCTACTTCTCGCCAATAGTCCAATGAGTCCAAAAATCGTAAATGGCACTCATGCAGCTATTTGCGATTATGAACAAGTTTTGACATCTTGCGCGCAAACCTTCGCCCAATTGAAGATGGAGCCAAAGGATAGTCCTGGTAAGTCACTAAGTATCTGCCATTTTTCTATCTAAAGGGCAGTGGAGTCTCTGATATAATGGATAAGGTAAGGGGGCTAAATAATTGGGGTTAAATACATACCATGCCTGTGTATCTACATTGGTCGCTTATTCGTATAATTTTGCATTATTTATAACAATATTTGTATTCATATTTCATTACAATATCTACAATAAATTTTTCACTTGACATTTTATTTAATTTTAATATCAGTGCAAGGGGGAGACTATCGTTCAATTTTCACGTGTCAAAAATATCACAAATAGGATAGTATCCACATACAATATCCACAAACACCATAGATTATATGATATCTGCGAGATGATACTTTACGACTATTCTGTGGTTTCCATCAGGTGTTGGCCATCAGTTTGATTGAAAACAATATAAAAAAAGTTTAATTCCTGTGTTCATTTCTTTCATTTATTTAAAGAGCATCTTGCATCTACTAATGTACTGTTTCAACATTACTAACACCACGAACCATTTCACTAACAACACTAACATAACAGAGATGCGCCGGCGCATCCGTGGCATCAAAATGTGCGGTAAGAAGTTCTCGCTTGACTCCTGCATGGATATGGTGCAGGGTCTGATGATGGAGCAGCCGTTGCCGCTTTGCTCTGAAGACGTGGAGGATATATCAAATGGTACGTAAAGGTTTCTAATGGTAAATTAGAGCTAATTATTGCAAAATACAATGACATTGCTTGGAATGTCTATAAGAGATGGATCATTTATTAATTTGCTCTTTATTTACGCATCAGTTGAAGAATAATACAAAAATATACACATAATTAAATTACGTGCATTAAACGTTCGTGTCGTTAAAGTAATCTCCTTCAGGCAATCTTTGAGTGGAGAAGAAAAGAAAGAAGGCCGTAGCTATTTTGAATATAATATAAAAGTATGTTAAATACTCGTATATATACTGCTTATAAATATATACATACCTTACATACTTAACTAGCTCCAATTATTGTCTATGCAAATTAATAATTATGATATTTCTAGATAGAGCAATGATTTCAAATGTGCTGTCGATTATGTCTCAAGACAAGTTCTTCTAACTATCTATAGAGATAGGGATATGTATACAATAATGAATGACAGATGACTGCAATGATGATGATGAAGTTAATATAAACATTCTTACAACTGTAATTTTAGATATTTATTGTTGTCCCTTCTCTGTTAAATCTCTTCCAAAACCATTTAGTAGTATTTTGAAATGATAAGAATATGAAAATATAATGTAATTTTCTGAAAGAATAAACACAGTTTCTTGCACATTTATGTCAATAAGTATAAAAAAATATGTATAAAATAATTCAGTAAGAAAGAAATGGATTTTTTCGCTATATTAAAATGTTATATCTATTAATGTTCTAGAACATGATACTGAAGCTGTTGATGCCCTACATTAAATCAGAGGTAATGATGACACTGATATTTTGGTGGAGGGTATATTAACAGATATAAGAATTATAATTTTTAAGTGTAAAAAGTAACATAATAAAATAATATTATCCAACCATAATCTTATACTATCTATCTATCTATCCATTTAAGAGCTGCGCTCTTGTCGGTGGAGCTCTTGCCACTCACTACGATTTTCAGCGAGTCTCTTCACCTCTTGATACGACACGACACCAACTCCTTCCTTGATCTGCCTGATGTAACTATCTTATACTACGAACAATAATATAATAATTTAATGCAGCATTAAACGTTTATTTATGAAGCTTCTTAAATCCAGGATCGAGCCCTGGCGAGAGATCATCCCTATCATTATCACCGGTGACATCTAGCGGCACTATCAAACAGGACTCCAACTCTGATTCAAACCAGTTACAAGTACCACCAACACCATCAAGACAATACCGGTCCAAATCTGTTGACGTATCTCTTACAGGATTAAAGCTTGACGATGCAAAAATAACAATAGATATGAAAAATAGTGAGATTATTATAACACCAACTGGTTCAAAGAATATACACGAATCTGTCGATAATCAGAAGGCTGTATTGTGTGATATTGAAGAAAAACTCAATATTGGTGACAAAATTACACAAGCGTTTGAAAATTTCCAAGACGGCCTGCAAATGTTAAGCGAATATCGACAGAATAATATAGAGGATAAGGATGATAATAAATCGGATGATTGTAATGCAAAATTAACTATTAGAGGACCGGGGAGCTACATTAAGAAGTTGATCCAACAATTCAGTGAAGGCCCTTTCGAAACTGAGGACCCCAAGCCTGAATCTGAAAGAGGTATTTCAACTCAATCGATTAGAGACAGAGCCGATGCGATTTGTAAAAAATGTTTGCACTATAAGGGGAAGATATCTAAGTAAATAAAATATTGATTTAATTTTATTAAGAAAAGTAGACACTGGCTGGAATATTTGAAATTAATTAGCGACTTACTCGTTACTTCAGTAAAAAATGTTACAAATATTTTCGTTACCTACAGCAACATGCATAATTACAAATTCTTCTTTATTTAAATAATCAATTGTTACATTTTATGGATTTTCAAAAGAAGAAAGTTCTGATCTTCTGGGTTTTGTTTTGCGACTATATTTGCAATTTTGAACTGTTTTGACAACAATTCTTATTTTAATCAATAGAATTTACCTACATATTGGTCTCAAATTAATTTTGTGACTATTAAATCTGCCGTTATTCTTTACAGAGCAAGAAAATGCTTGGTCTGTAAATCTACTTTTAAAAATTTATATATAAACACGCAATATTGACAATGTAGGTTTTATTTTTGTCAATTTTTTTTTTAATATTTTAAATTTTAAATTTGGAACAAAAACACTGATTACAATATTATTGAATTTATTGATGACTTATTATTGAAGGGTATCCACGGAATGTCTTTTCGTTTATCGATTTGTTTACGATTGAAGATTCTTTTGATTATTTTAAAAAAATATTGAAAGAGCTGTATTTATTTATTTATTTATGCTTTATTGTACACATAAATTACGTTGTTATAATGTTTACATAGAAAATGCTGTAGTTTATTTAATATTGCGCACGATTTCTAAGAAAAGTTAAAAGTAAATATGAGATTTCGAGTTAAGAACCAAGTGCATGCGGAAAGTTGTTTTAACTAGAGAATATTTATATTTTGTACAATTTCACATATTATTATCGCTGGGTTTCGACTTAGTATCACAGTTATCATGTCAATGGTTTATTATTTATCACAATCAAATAACATCACGTTTCCATAAAGATGTTATATTATTTAATTTTATAATTTAATTTTAATTTTAAATAAATCGGTGCATAATTACATATCTTTTATAGTCTATTGGTGCAATTTACTTGGTATCAGAGGAATACGTTTTTAGTTTAATCTTTAAGATAAAAAATTATACAAATAGTATAATTTTTTGACTTAATTTTTATACTAGGCGTAGTCAAGATCAGTTTTTCTATTATACTTCCTTCCCAATCTTGCACACATATCAATCATAGATAAAGTATTGCTAAGGCATTTAATATTAAATAAATTAATTATAATATTCTTTAAATACATTTAATTTAAATTTTAATTATTAAATTCTATTTAATTTACTTTACTTGCCCCTATATAAAATTATTTATATTAAATTGAAATTATTTAATAATTTTAATTGAGTTATGTTAATTTAATTCTCATATAGTACCTATTTTTTATTTTAAAAGCATTCTAAAATCTTTACACTACATTGAGAAATGCACAATTGGGCATTTTAAAATATTTTCCATACATATTTAGACAAAGGTACTATTAAAAATTATATATTCCTAGCACAATGTAGGGAAGAGAATAATTACTCAATCAAACCGGTAGTTAGTTTATGACACGCTAGATGGCGCATACGTCAGACTTAATTCAGTTTAAAGGGAGATTGAAAAATTACGACAGATAGTTCATGTTGTAATTGGAATTGTACTCAGCTCAGATAGCTGAGATATACTATATGTAGCTGAGTTTGAGTCATTTAAAAAGTAAAACTGGTGATAATGATAATGGAATGATTAACTTAAATGAATTGCAGAGAGTCAGTGGATGCAGGTAGCTCAGGACCGTTAATCATGGCAGTCTATGGGGAAGGCCCATGTTCAGCAATGAACAAGAATGGCTGAGATGTCGATAACAATGATTTGGTAACCCCGCTTGCGCTATTGGTTGATTAGCGGAGCATCAGTGAGGGATGATATAAGATGATGAAAATAAATCTGTTGTCCCATCTTGGTGTATTCGTTAAGAATTAAGCACGGTGGTTTCCATAGGAAACTACGTGGAGGTCGACTTGAATGAATATATTGACTAACGACCCCATTGCTAGCAAAGCAATAAGGCCTTTAGTCTAAATTACTAACAATCCCTTCTCCCCCTGTATCTAGTAGTAATTAACTATGCTATTAAACAGTGTTATTAAAATAAAAAAACTAAATAATATATAAGACCTCGGTGGCTATTTAAGTAATTCAGGTTATTAAACATTTTATTATTATTATTTGTCTATCATAATATGTGATGTGTGTAAATTATATAAATTATAAAAATTATATCGACTTTCTATCTATAAATATAAATACCTACTATAGGAACACTATTCAAATTTCTCGCGATCAGAATCGCAGGTTACAGCTAGTCTAGTTTATTCTAAATACAACATCTCATTTGATAAATAACGAAATTTAATAATCCTTACTTTAATTAATATGAAATATTAAATTTTAATAAATTCTGTTACAGTTTAATAATTTAAAATGTTACAAAAAACATTTAAGTTTACTTAATTTTATATATATAATTTAAATTTAAACTGAGTAAACTTCTAAATTACTGGTATTAAAGTATTACCGAAATGTGTATTTAGCAATAATGTTATATTGTATAGACGATGTTTAATAGTGTGGTGTATAATAGAAATAAATATATAAATAAATTAATCGTTAAAAATATATTTTTTCATCTAAAATTTGCTTTAGATATACAGTTTTTGTGATTTCCAATTAGAGTTTTGTCTTTTATATTCTTTACGTTATACCAAATTTTTCTTGCTACTTCATACGTATAATTTTCAAAAATTTTTGATTACTAGATTTTAAATTAGACCATCAGGAATACAACTGTGAAAATACATATAATTCGATGTAGTGGTTTTTGTATGATGCCGTATATAAACATACATACAGACAGACACGTAAAATTTCTGAAATTTATTGTTTTGGCATTTATTGGTCTCGTTAAGTCGTTACAGTTTTATTACATTAGTAAGATTATGTACATTTTTTGATGATTCTTGGTGATTAGTACAGATCATCAGGAATTATCATTTGAATCTTTACTTAAATGACGTACATTTATCTTAAAATTTTGTTTAAAAACTGTTTTAATTTTAGTTCTTTATTATTTTTATATACACGCTTTTTTGTACATTAAGAATTTAATAATTAATGTTTCTTAATAAATGAAATGTAATCACTAGTTTAAATAGTTTTAAGAATGATATAAAAAAAATGTAATTGATGTTGATAATGGCTAAAAATGTTTATAATATGGCTTAAAATGTTCACTAAATTATAATAATGATATTGACTGTATAATAATCTACATATTTTATGAAAATATAATGAACAAACTTCTTATATGTAACTTATATACATTATATTTATTCATAAATTAATGCACAATGTCGTATTTAGTTACTATATTTAATATTGTAAATGATATACTTAATTTAAAGCCATTTATTTATTCTATTTTATTTATTGATTTATTGATAGTAATTTGATTAAATAAAGACAGTTAAAAATCAATGATTATATCATATATCATATTTTTATATTTTTCTTTTCCCCTTAAAAAATTACAAGGCACTGTTCTTGTACTTGATTTAGCTATTCTTAACTGATGCATTTAATTTTTATTTGTGTAGGTATATTTATTAAAAAAAAACATTTCATTTTCTTAGAATATTTATTATAATTTTTGTATTATTTATCTGTTTGTATTATTGTTAATAATTTTAAATTTTTAAATATGAATTTATTTATGTACAGAATGAGTGTATACAAAATATTTATTTATTTAACTCTTTTATAAGTATCACAATGTTATACGCATGACATAATTTTATATTTATATAAACTCTATTTCATTCTGTAATATAATTGTTTAATGTTACAAATAGTTTAGTTTCTGTATCATTATAAAGAACATTAATATATAAATAAAGAAATATTAGTTTGTTAAGTGAGTAACCGGTGTACCTATGTATGTATATGTATATGAAGATATGTAGTATTCATTTTATATTAGTTTACATTTATGTATATTTAAGTAAATGTTATATTATATATACTGCTGTGCTAAATCAATAACACATTATATTATGTATATATCTATAAACTTAATATATTTTTACTTATAAATTCATATAAAATAAAATATATGTATTTAAATGTTTAAATAAATGTAGTAAATATTAGGCTAGTAATGTTCATACGTGTGTGATAATAATTATTAAAAAAAAAGTAATTAATTAATATATAAATATAATTAATCTTTAAAATTTATGTTCATTTTTTATCCAATATCTACATATATATGTAAACGACAAAACCATAGTTCATTAATATTTATTTACATATGTATATAGATATAATTAATCTATTAATAATATAAATTTTGATTACTTTGCAATATATTATGTTTTTGTTAAATTTTTATTGTAATATGTTTATTTAAATCTGTGTGTTGTAAAATGAAAAATGTTATAATATTAGAATGTTCAATCGAATATATATATACATGTTTGTTATAAACATAGACACAAAATGGCATAAATGTATTAAAGTGTTTAGTAGTAAATATATAATATATAAATGATGGCAAATTAATTCAATCTTTCATTACACCTTACCTAATTATCCCCATTGTTGGTGTAACTCTTCTAATTTTTGTGTTGGATGATTACCACCGTCAACAAATAACGCATATAAGTATGGAAACTTGATAAGTCGTCAGGAACGGTAACATATGAATAGTACTATGGCGTCACAGTATATTTTATGAAGTCAATAAGATTCGAATGAAAATAAATAGGTTGTAAAATTTATGTTTATGGGCAACTAGCTTTTACCCGCGTCTTTGTCCGTGCGACCGGGATATGTTTATTGACCTATATCTTTTCAATCCCATATAGCACATGTATACCTAATTTCATAGTAATTGGTTAAGCCGATAAGGCGCTATAAGGTAAAAAAAAACATACATTTATCTTTATAATATTAATAAAGATGCTTACCACTTTCTATCAGGTGGGCTGTAAGCTTGTCTCTTATTTTAAGTTGCGTGAAAAAAGAAGTTTTTTTTTTATTATTCTTATTTTTATGACACTTAGAACAGCAAATAGTTTGACGATCCATCTGATGGAAAGTGATAACCATGACCTATATACATGAACATTGCTATGTGGCCCCAGCGTAGAATGAGCCAGTCCTTTTTTACCCGTGGGTGTCGTAAGAGGCGGCTAAGAGAATTTAAAGATCGAGGAATTGGCAGCAGCGCCCCTCTTAAACCATCACCGAAAGCCTAACTGCAGTTGTTAACCCGCCTGCCAAACGTGGCGACTACTGGCAAAACCCCCCAATAGGGGTAGACCTATGTGGGCAGTTACCAGCTAATATGATGATACACATGAACAGTACCGAGGGTATTACAAAATACACTGTGACAACTGCATAGTAGTGAAAAGGTTTAATAAATAATGCATTAAATATTTATGTAATACAATGTATTATATTTAATAAATGCATAACAATTGCAATTATAAACATTCACCTACCTACATTTCATTTGAGCGATTCATAATTTTGCATTTTTATATATGAAACAACAGAAAAATAACAAATTTATATATTTGAGCAAAATATATGAACGTTAAATATTAAATCTATGTAATGCATTTAACAAGTAATAAATAAGTTTTATACATTTATTTTTTAAATTCAGTCTTATATACTAAGTTAAATTTAAATTTAAAAATAAATAAATGCATTTTAATTTACAAATTATACTAGAGAATAATATACATTTATTTTTGTATATTACAATTTTCGTATTCAAGCTCTGTTTTATTATTAAATAGAGAGCTGGTATATTAATTAAATTAAGACTTTATATTCACATTTTTAGTATCCATTATTTTATATTTATATCTACTGTGAAACAATTATATAATTAATACAAATCAAATGTTAAATTTTTGTTAAATAAAAAAAAATTTTTTAATAAATGCTTTTCATATTTAAATGTCTTTTCATGCTGAATTTAATAATTAAAAAAATGAAATTACACGGTTAATATAAATAATTAAAATGATATACAACTATTACAATTAAAATACTGAACATTTTGAACCGACTTCGGAAATGAGGAAACTCTCAAATTGACTGAATTTGTGAGAGTAGATGTTACGCGATATCTTCGTCAAGTTTAGAACTGATTTTAATGATTAATTTTTTAATCGATATAGTATATATCCTATATCGGTCTCATAATAATTACATCAAGACTGAAGTCGGTGATTCTTTTGTTGAATAAAAACTTAAATTATGATAATGAAAGGTGGGGGATGCATTTTAAACATTTTATCAAATTTATATTAATGCAATAATATTTTTTTATACATCAGAGTTTAATATATTTAATAATAAGGTCACCTATTCTTGTCTCTTGCTTCTTGTAATTTTTTTTTTCAATTTTATATTACATTATCTTGAAAACGAGGAGTTTTCATTCAATAAATTGACATGGACATACGCGCCAATTAAAAATCAATTCTTTTTATCGTCAATTGGCATTAAAAAAAAAATAACGATAGTCTCACTAATGCCATCTGTGGATGAACATCCAAATCTTTTTCGACTCGAAACGAATTTCTTCTAGTTACACTTAACATTCAACCTTGTGGATGTTACAAATAGAGTCTTTTGTTTGATTCACAAATTTCATACATAAAAACTGGTAACCTTGTCATCAATGTACACCAGTGACGCTCTTCAGCCAAGGTTTGTAGAACGTGGTCCTCATGTAAACACCTGGTAGGTATGGAGCGGCGCATTTTATACCATGGGAGACGGTACCTACTAGTTGCCATCTGCCGTCTTCTCGCTGCAGTACTAGCGGACCGCCACTGTCTCCCTGGAAGTATGTGAGAAGCGGGCATTAAATCAGGTAAAACATGTGATAACATCAAATAGACCTGTTATTATTTTAATCTGTACTTATAATAAATCTGTAGAGAGGTAAATTCTGTACATGAAATATATTTCCAAAATAACTATCAGGGGGTGATTAGTGATCGATATTGGTGCCAAAAATGCAATCAGTAAAATTTTTATCTGTCTGTCTGTATGTTCGTTATAGAAACAAAAACTACTCGACGGAGTTTAACGAAACTTGGTACAATTATTCTTCATACTCCTGGGCAGGTTATAGTATACTTTTCATCACGCTACGATCAATAGGAGCAGAGCAGTGAAGCGAAATGTTAAAAATGTCCACCTTTGCGACGCCGAGTCGGGCCGCTAGTAATATAATAAAATTTTAATTGGACGATGTCTGTACAAGGGGTCTTTATAAGACCAATAGACACCAAAAGCGTATATTTTAAAAATGTCGTCTATCTGTCTGTATATTTGTTCTGGTACCACGCAAAAATTACAGTTTCCACAGGTTTACCAGAGGGAGACTTTGTACAAAAGTCAATTGCTTGGATACCTCTGTCCCATTCATGTTTCAACCGTAAAGCAGTTGTGTCGGCTGTGTTTCGGTTTGAAGGGTGAGATATGGCGTAAACTTACTGGGTACGGAGGAATAATACCTGAGTCCTCAGGAATGGCAATGTATGGGGGGTATCATGGGTGAAACAGTATACTCTGTTATGTCCATATTACTGCTCATGTCTATAGGCGACGGTTACCACTTTCCATCAGGTGGGCCGTCAGCTTGTTTTTTATTCTAAGTTGTATAAATAAAAGTTATATTCTTAAAGGGCTGACTTAAAAATCTGGTGTAAGTTTTTTTTTTTTTAAAAAAATGCTCGAATTAACGGGTAAAAACGTGTTTTATTTTATATACACAATTGTAACTTAACGCAATGTAAAAGCTTTTACAGGTCAATATTAACTAAAAATGTATCTATTATAGAAAAAAAAGCTTAGAACAACCCTTGATAGGATAAACCTCTGTCTATCCTATCAACAGACGTATCTCTATACTTCTTGATTGCTTATCTACTGCGTCTCTTAAAATTAATTAAATACTATATATATAACTAATAATTAAATATGGTACATATACTAACTTCGCAAGAATCCTTCTCTCCGTTCGCGTATCCTGCACAGATGAAGGATTTCAAGATGTTCTTGAAGTGTCCAGCAGTCAAGAACATCTCCTGGCAAGCGGAATTCTCTATTACAGGCACCTGGAATGGAAGGACAATTTACACAAACATTTTAAACTACATTTACATGTATTCAAGACTGTAATAATTATTTATTTTAAAATTAAACATTATATAAATTTATTTTAAAATTAAATATATATATATAAATAAATTAATTTATATAAATAAATTATTCACATAAAAATGTGAATTAATTTATTTATTTATATAAATGGTTACTGTCGACCGTTGGGGTACTTACTAGCTGTAATGAATAACAAAATTAATATAATCAAGAGACTGTTATAGACTGTAATCAAATTAAAATTTAAATTATCTTTATTGAAATAAACTTGTTTACGAACACTTTTAAATCCTTATATTTTATGAATGAACTGCAGCGTTCAGAAAGTTGTTATCCGTTGGCAAGAACCCGCAAGCCACTCGACAGTTACTCTTAATTCTTTGTTAATCTTGGTTAAATGGAGTTCGTCACGATGGGCTCTCGGTGATATCCCACTGGTGCCCCGATACCAATAGAGCGTGTGAGGTCGCCATTCTATTAAAAAGAAACCTCTCTCAACGATTGAGCCCCCAAATGCAAAAAGAATTTTTCGAACCCGACTTGAAGTTCCACTCTCTACTTTAATTATATACATTTAAAAAGTGTGTACATTTTATAATATTGGTTTTATAAAAGGTATTAAGTATAAACGTGGATGCTTATAAGGGCAGAGGAAGACCTAAAAAGACATGGATGGACTGTGTGAAAGATGATAAGGCCAGAATGGGAGTGAATACGGAAATGACTGGGAATAGAGACGAATGCAAGAGGAAAACATATTACGCAGACTACAAATAAATATTTGGGATAAGGGTAGGAAGATGACGATAATGATCGGGTTTAGACATACCTGGACCTCTTGTAATACAGTGGGTACCCCCCCACCGTATTTCAACCGCCCCCATCCCGTCACCGTTGCCATCCGTCCAGTAAAGTCAGCGTCGTCCGGTGGCATACATATTGGTACTGCAATAACAATAAACATATAGAATAGAATAGGGTTACTAAAGAGGGATGACGTAGGCAGGCGGCCGGTCGTAAAACTAAAAGCCAAATCTTTTTGTAATATGTATATTAACATATTACGCCGACCACAAATAATAATTGGGAAAAAAAAAGGTAGGAATACAGAATAGAAATATTTTTTATTCAAATATATAGATAGATAGATAGATATTCTTTATTGTATCCTCCAAAAGATTACAATAGTAAACTTATTATATAAATATAAATAATTACATGAAATAATCACTACGAGAAAACAATGGGCGACCTTATCGCTAAGAGCGATCTCTTCCAGGCGACCTTTGGATGGAGAGGAGTAATTATAAACAATTTGGTGGGAGGCACGATGAAAAATTTTGTTAGTTCTAATAGACTTGTTTACAAGCTCTTTTAAATCGTCAATTCTTTATGATTGTACTGCTGAGTTCGAGATGTCGTTATGTGTTGAGAAGAACTCGCAAGAATGTCAACAGTTACTCTTTTCCAATTATTATGTAGAAGATTATTACTAGCTATTAGGTTCATCTTTGGTCTTCGTAAATACGATCACGTGTCTGCCTTTCGCAACCAGTTAAAGTGGCTCCCTATCCGACTTCGACGTGATATGCACATCCTTTCTTTCCTTTATAACATACTCAATAACCCCAATTCTCCATCGTACCTCCGCTCCCGGTTTAAATTATTACCACCACCAGTCCGTCCTAAACGCTCCTGTCAACTGCAATCCAGGATGCTTGAACTTCCTGTGTGTAGGACACACTTTATGGGCAACTCTTTCTCGTATCGAGCTGTCCAGTTATGGAACAAACTCCCTTCCCACATACAAGAGAGTCCCTCTATTACCTCTTTCAAGAAGAGGTTAAAATCACATTTTCTTTCCCTTGAGTAATATATTTTTTTTTTTTTGTATTTTTCTAATTGAACTCTCAAATCTTAAAATCATTAAACGAAATTTCTAATGTATGTAGTATATTAATTTATTTTAACATATACTATATAAGTAGGTAAGTATTGTATATATTTATAGTGTATGTATTTATGTAATATTTTATTATATATTTTAATATTTTATTTAACTGTATATTTGTTTATGTATTAATAGTTGTAGCACTTCAGCTGTCCGCTAACGAAATGCTTTCTTACTGTACTGGGTTGACTGGAAGAGATCTCTGTCAGAGATAAGTCCACCCTTGCTCACAACATTTATAAATAGATTATTTTATATGTAACTTACAAGTGCAATAAAGAATATATATATATATAATTTTAAATTTGCATGCGTACTGTGGGTCTAGTATAGAATGGCCCTCTTTTCCTTACCCCCTGGTGTCGTAAGAGGTGACTAAGACTTTACTTGTTGAAGAATGAGCAGCAGCGTTTCTCTTAAAATATTATCAAAGACTAAAAAAGCTAACTGCGGTTACTAAACCGCCTGTGAAGCATGGCAAATACTAGCAATACTCTCCTTATGAGGAAGGCCTTTTGTTTTTCTTTTATACAACTTAGAATGGCAAACAAGCTGACGGCCCACCTGATGGGAAGTGGTAACCGACGCCTATAGACATGAGCAGTACCATGGACATAACAGTACACACACATACTCTTTCACCCATGGTACCCCCCATGCGTTGCCATTCCTGAGGACTCAGGTGTTATTCCTCTGTACCCTGTAAATTCACGCCATATCCCATCCTTCAAACCGAAACACAGCCATGCAAACACAACTGTTTCACGGTAGAAACACGAATAGGACAGAGGTAATCCCAATCCCAAGCAATCGACTTTTGTACAAAGTCTCCCTCTGGTACAAGGCCTATGTTCAGCAATGAGTGATTGATGATGATCAGTCTTGGGTGATGTTTTAGGAGGAACACTACTACCTATTCCTCGACTATTAAGTACTTACCAATATGTGCATCGAATTTAACAGGCGTTTCTAACTCGAGGAGTGCCAGGTCGTTTTCGAAAGTCGCAGCGTCGTACTGCCGGTGGACGATCACTCGTCTCACATTCTTGGAGACAGGTCTCCTGGGCTCCTTGTCCCCTGATATGTCGTTCTCCCCGAAGACCGCTACTAGGGAAGCGAGGAAGCTGGAATGTAATGAAGTAATTTTTCTTTTAGATGTTTAAACTAATATTATAAAGAGAAAAGAGTGAATGTTTTGTTTTTAATGGATAAATTAAAAAAAAAAAACTTAATAGACTCTAAAAAGCCTTTCAGCTACAAAAAGTTACATTATCAATTAACTGTATTTTAATTAAAAAAAAAATTGAATGAAGTTGTTTACGATAATTGGATCGGAATCTAAGTTTTGTTGACCAGACTGTTACTATCCCATTCCAATAATTAAAGCTAAAAAAAGCTATCCGGAACTTTAATTGTTATCGCCGACTTCTTTAGAGTATTGGTGAACATGTTGCTTTGTGTAAATGAGGTCTCAGGTTCGATTTTAGGTTTGCGGGTCTACTTATGAAGCGAACTATTCTGAATTCTCTCAAGTTTGGATGTTCTGGGTTGTGCCTCCGGACGTCTGTTGCCTTGTATGTCATAATAAAGAGTTTATTAGCTTAAGGAGCAAGTGAGTAGTCTGATTAACTCGGGTCTGGGTTGTTCCCCCAAATGTTCGTTGTTTCGTTTCTCATAACACCGAGTTCCTTAGCTTGAGAATCAAGTGTTTGGTGTTTTTGTGTTGTACTTATTATTTTAAACAGAAATCTATACTCTACATACCCTGGTTGACAATGCGCAGCAGTTGTGACAAATTTGTTCGTGATCAGAACACCTCCGCACTTGTTCTTGGTGAAGAGTCCCAGCCACGTGGACTCCCGGACGAGTACCTGCCAGGGCCACTCTCCAAACTCAGCATTCTTGCCGCCGACTATCCGACCTGACTTGACTAGGGGTCGAACACCGCACACTGAAAATGTAGAATACGTACTGGATTTAGATCATACATTTCACTAGCTTTCGCTGATAACTTCGTACGCTTTAATTTTAAAATTAAATAACTACTTCTTGATAATATATTGAAGTGAAACATATACCAGATTTTAAGTTAAATTTTCAGGAATACAACTGTGAAAATTGCATTCAATTTGTTGCAATAGTTTTTGCGTGAATCCCCAAATAAATATACAGACTCACAGAAAGATAAACTAAAATTCGAAAAATGCTGTTTTTGCTTTGTTACTTTATTTAAAAAATACTGTTTTGCTATGTCTCAAAGAAGTTTGTTTGTTACATTAACGGCTTGACCAATCTTTTTTCCTTCTGTCTGTTTCTTTATCTCTATCTATATCTTTCTTTCTTTCTTTCCAATTTTTTCTTCGTTTATTAGACGGAGAAAGATATAGGCTTTTTATTTTTATGGGATATGGCGTGAATTTACTGGGTACAGAGGAATAACACCTGAGTCCTCACGAAAGGCAACGCATGGGGGGTATCATGGGTGAAACAGTATACTCTGTTATGTCCATGGTACTGCTCATATCTATAGGCGACGGTTACCACTTCTTATCAGGTGTGCCGTTAGCTTGTTTGCCATTCTAAATTGTATAAAAAAAAAAACAAGCATACAGTCAGCTCTTGATGAGAAATAAATGTAGTACTTACAATTTTTGTCGTTGTAGTCTATTGTCGTGTCACGATACGGCTCAGTGGTGAGTTCTTCAGATTGCTCTGTGAAAGTGGTGGTAGGGATGGTAGTCGTCGCTTTCCTTGTTGGCTTAGTCTTTTTCGTGGTGGTTGCCTGCAAATGATACAATCACATACCCGGAAAACAAGTAGGTTAAAGAATTTTCAGAATTTTGATTAGTGGTAAAGACAATTCTCCCTTTACTAATATTATAAATGTAACGGTTTAACCAATTACTATGAAATTTGGTATGTACGTACTATATAGGATGGAGAAAGGTATAGGCTATTTATTATCCCGGTCACGCAGACAAAGTCGCAGGTAAAAGCTAGTATTATATATGAAGATGAGTTTCCTGTTTGCCATTGCCACCTCTTGACAATACAACGGCTCGACTTGTCGTCATAAAATTTGATATACATGTTGCTTTTTGGCCCGGTCAATTAATATGAGTATATATTTTGGTTACACTAACAAATTCGTAACTTAAAAGTTAATTTTTACCGGAGGGAGACTTTGTACAAAAGTCGATTGCTTGGGTACCTCTGTCCCATTCATGTTTCAACCGTAAAGCAGTTGTGTCGGCTGTGTTTCGGTTTGAAGGGTGAGATATGGCGTAAACTTACTGGGTACGGAGGAATAATACCTGAGTCCTCAGGAATGGCAACGTATGGGGGGTATCATGGGTGAAACAGTATACTCTGTCATGTCCATATTACTGCTCATGTCTATAGGCGACGGTCGGCGGTGGCGGTTGGGTACCTCTGTCCCAATTGTGTTACTACCGTGAAGCAGTTGTGTTTGCATGGCTGTGTTTCGGTTTGAAGGGTGGTATATGGCGTGAATTTACTAGGTACAGAGGAATAACACCTGAGTCTTCAGGAATGGCAACGCATGGGGGGTATCATGGGCGAAACAGTATACTCTGTTATGTCCATGGTACTGCTCATGTCTATAGGCGACGGTTACTTTCCATCAGGTGGGCCGTCAGCTTGTTTGCCATTCTAAGTTGTATAAAAAAAAAATCTGTCGCTATGTTTTATGCGACAACCTTCTAATCTGTATTATTAATATACCTATGTATACAACTGAGGTTCCTTTTTTCATAATTTTATGTTAGAAAAGCGTGTGTGCCGTATGGTTCCAGCATAGAATAAGCTACCCCTTCCTTTCCCACGGGTATCGTAAGAGGCGAATAAGGAAATTTAATGGTTGAAAGATGGACAGCAGTGTCATTCTTAAAACACCATCAAAGCTTGCCAATCCGCCTTCCAAGTGTGGCAACTACTGGCAAAACCGCCCAAGAGAAGGCCTATGTTCAGCAGTGGACAGTTAATGGCTGATATGGATATGGATGTTAGAATATTTTTTTTTTAATTAATTACTTTTTCCAAATAAACATCTGTCGTAATCTAACAAAAAAAAAGCTTTCTGTATTAATTTGATAGTTGGATGCGATTTATCAGTTATGTGAGGCTCAAATAGAGTTTTTTGATCTGTTTTTCTTTGACAAACATATACGTTTTATTGATAGAGCACAGTCTTAAAATAATGTTATTATTCTAAAATGTAATTAGTTAAAACTAAAAATATTTTTTCTTACTTTCGATCTTCGATTAGCGAATTTATTGGAAAATAAAAATGTATTTTTGTAATGCAAATGCAGAGTAGACTTTAAATTTTTTTTTAATAACGATTACTAGTATTTAGAGTTTTTTAATAATACAATGATATATTCAATACTAATTGGTGGGCGTTATGAACAAAATATGCCAATTTAAAAATATATAACATAGCCGGAATATAATATTTTTTATTGTCGAATAATACTTACCGGCTTTTTAGCTGTGGTAGTCGTCTGCGGAGCAATAGTGGTAGTTCTTCTAGCAGCTGTTGTCAATTTCGTTGGTTTTTTAGTAGTTCTCACTGGTTTCCTAGTCGTAGTGGTCAATCTAGTAGGTTTTTTAGTTGTAGTCACTCTGACCGGTTTTCTAGTCGTGGCTGGAGTCTTTTTAATAGTTTTCGGTGTGGTTGTTTTAGTATTTACCGATGTAATATTTGTCTTTTTATCCAATATAACGATATCGTGTAATTCTTGGAACGTACCTTGGAGACTACCCACTATTTTATTAACAAACAAATTCATTTTCTCATTCAAATTTTCATCTTCTTGCCATGAAGGTGTTGTGAAGTCAATATCAGGAATATTTTCTATTTCGTCATTCGATAATGTTATGCTTGTATTATATATTAATGGATTCGAACCAGTCGCGTTAAGCATTGGATTTCTGACTGGTGGGAAATTGATCAGATCATCAGGTGACGTTTGCAGTTCTGGTCTCAGCGTTGTAGGAGAATAGTATTCAGTATATGAATCGAACGCAGGACTAGTTATAGAAACAGGTCGAGTGGTTCCTTTCACTGGATAAGGTGTGGTATTCGGGGTTGGTTTAGGAGTAATAAGCACAGTAGGAGATGATGGCCTGTCATATTTTTGAGGAGGTTTACCTACAAAAATGTTATTCGTTGATTCTATATGATTGTTCACTGTTATTTGACTGATAGGCTTCTTGAATGGTTCTTGGCTTATTTCGACGAATTCTGGTTCCTTTTCTTCTGTAGATGTCTCTGGTTTGGGTGTGTGCAGACCATGTAGGACTATAACTGTTGGGGTTACGCTCGAAAATGTATCCCCAGCGTCATAACTTGAAATAATACTTGATGGTGAAGTGACAGGTCTCCTTAAAGGACTTGATCCAGTCACGTAACTTGTAGATGGTGGTTTTCTAGTTGTAGTGGTCGGTCTATGGGTAGTAGTTGAACTTACATAACTAAATGTTGTTAGAGATTGCCCAAAATTATTAGGGTCTGTTGGGTAATTATTGAAAGCTTCTAATGCTTGACTAGTAGAAAGACTAGGTATAGGTGACGAGTATTGGGGTTTTGTTGTGGGTTTGTCCACTTCAGGTATACTATTAGGTGTAGTGAAGTAAGGCTTCTTTGTTGTGTAAGGTTTTTTAGTACTATATGCAAAAGTAGTACTGTATACACTAGCACCAGGTCTAACTGTTACGAAATGACCTGGAGATACATAATAATTATATGTTGGAGACGGTGACGATTTATTTTCTAATATATCAGACGATGGAGATGTTGTATCTTCTTTCAAACTTGGTGTACTGTCATTCAGCATTTGTATTATACTGTTTATTGAAGAGAGCTCCGTAATTTTCTGATTCTCCTTCGTAACTGTTGATACTATTACATAATTTTCTGTACTGCTTTGCGTTGTATTTTTCTTTGCTGGCTTTGGTTTGAATACTGGCTTAGGATAAATAGGCAAATGGGTCGACACTGTTTTAGGAGGTGATGTCGATGTTGATATAGGTGAATACGTCGGTTTGGTTTGCATTGACGATATTTGTATATTGAAGTCTGAAGGCCTAGCAATATTATCGGCGATCGAACCATTCTTATGAAAGAGTATAGTATCAGCTATATTATGATCTATTGTACTATGTGTATATATCCCTCCAGGTCTTTCAGGTTTAATATAAATATCATCTTTTGGTGGGGAATTTAACAATGTATTAGTAATTTGATTGAATCCTTCAGATATAAGTTCTTGTGTTTCACTAACTTTATCTTCAGGTGAGGTAGTGGATGAGACTTGATTTCTATCTGGTTTGTAGCCTGGTGTTACTACGGGCTTAAAGCTATTGTGCCAAGCGTTTAATTGCTCGGCTTCGTAGTCGGCTGTTTCTGATTCTAGGTCAGGATAATCTAAGTAGCTCGTCATAACTACTCCAGGTCCTTTTGGTATATGTGATTGACTATCACTTTTAAGTTGGCAGCATGCTCCGAACAGGAATCCGTCCATGCAAGCGCCAACTACTTCTCCCTTGCGTTGCATGCATTCGTGATTGAACATGCATATTGTGTTGCCTCTGTTGTATTTTGCTGTTCTTGTAGCTTTACAGTACGTCGGTGTTATTCGATAGCCGCCGAATAATTTTGATGAATCTGGAAAGAGAAAAAAAAATTTAAAAGCGAGTCTAAAAATATAGCAATTCTATTTCAGTATTTTGATTAAAAAAAAAAGCAGTGTTACTATGAAAAAAGAAATAGAACTTCTCAATTAGCAAGTATTTTTTGTTTAAACAAAGTAAACTTTGTTTGTGTTACTGTGTTTACTGCAAAGATAAATGATGAGTCCAATTTTTGGTCATGATAGAAAATCAGTTATAGTGCTGTTTCAATAAAGTTGTAAGTAAGTAGTTGTATAGCAGTGAACTGAGTAATGACCAATTTGTTCTTCTAAATTCGGTTGTATAATTTTCTTATGTTTATTACCGTCAGTTATAATCCGATTTGGAAAATTAACTTTTTTTCTGATGGGATGTAATTACAAATTGAATTCTTTTTTTATTTTGTGGACCACAATATTATAATAAGTATTGTTTAAATTATTAATTAATATTACTTTAATTTGGCAACTAAAACTGTGTCTTTAATAGCTATAATTTTATTCGTAAATACTTGATGCTCATAGAAAAGGATTTATTCCAGTGAATCGATTCAGGCATTATAAGATATAGATCATCATCATCATCATCATTTCAGTTGTTAACTGTCCACTGGTGAACATACGCCTTCCCCATAAGAGGGGTTTTGCCAGCAGTTGCCACGCTTTGCAGACGGGTAGGTAACTTCAGTTAAGTTTTGTTGATGTTTAAGACGGACGCTGCTGCCAATCTCTCGATAATTAAATTTCCTTGGTCGCCTCTTACGATGCCCACGGGAAAGGAAGACGTGGCCCAAGAAATGTATGAATAGATAATAGATTACAATCTACTTGTAATGTGTATAATAGTACATTACTGCAGCGGCCAGCAACTGAGGCATTGATGGACGAACGTGCAAACGTGGGCATGTTTCGAAGTAAAAGGTCATTCCATTTTTAAATTATAGGACATATATGAGTTTACATAGTAATTTATCTGGCCGCAAAACACGACAGATATGGATTTTCATACAACTTTTGCCGGCCGCTGCCCGCATGTATCTGGCCAGTATGGCAATTTTGATTTATCTCGAAGAAGATTGTCAAAATAATGCTCACATTTCCAAGCATGTTTGAGAAAAAATTATTACTATCTCAGACAGAAATATGTCCTTGACTTTTCTCGTCATTCTATATAATCATCATCATTATATCAGACTTTAACTGTCCATTGCTGAACATAAGCTGCCTTTTGGGTTTAGTTACCACGCTTGGCAGGCGGATTGGCAACAGCAGTTAGGCTATGAAGATGTTTTAAGAGGGACGCTGCTGCTCATCCCTCGCCCTACCTTAGTCGTCTCTTACGACACCCACGGAAAAAAGGGGTGGCCTATTCTATGCCGGGACCACACGTCAATTCCGTATAATTTAAGTTAAAAATAATTTAAGTTAAAATAAAAAAAATAATTTAGTTAAAAAGTTAAGTGTAATATATGAACCGTAATCCAACAGTTGACACATCCGAAGTGAAATTTCAATCGACTTAGAAAGCTAACTACGTGACTTGATTACGATTTGCGAATGCGGTGGAAACTCCCGGTTTCAACATAGAAATCTTTCCTGAGATATTGGAATTTCATTAAAATGGTAATGAGATAAATCAAAATTGCCGTTCTGCAAAAGTTGTATGAAAATTTATATTTGTCGTGTTTTGCGGCCAGTTAAATTACTATGTAAACTCATATCTGTCCTGTAATTTAAAAATGGACTGACCTTTTACTTCGAAACATGGCTACCAAGGAGGTAACTAATAAAAGGTTTTATTTAAATTTCGAACTGGCTTGAATAGAAAGCTGTTTATTGAAAAAAAAAAATCAAAGGAACATTATGGCGCGTGAAAAATTATTATTGTTCGTTATTCATCATTGAACTTAAAAAGTAAAATTGTGTTTTTGATTTCCTCGCATTGTTTGAGAAAAGTACTATACAAGCCTTGGCCACAACTAGGAATTGATGGACTCACGTATGTGTGCCTCGGCCACGCTTCGGCCCACATTTGCACGTTCGTCCATCAATACCTCAGTTGCTGGCCGCTGCAGTAATGTACTATTATTAGTAATAGCGTGCTACGTAGTAAATTTTCCATGTGGTCTCGGCATAGAAAAGGCTAATTCTTTTTTTCCTGTGGGTGTCGTAAGAGGCGACTAAGGGAACTTAATGGTATAGTGGAATGGACAGCAGCGTCCCTCTTAAAACTTCTCGAAAAACCTAATTGTTGTTGCCAAATCGCCTGCTAAGCGTGGTAACTATTGGCAAAAAGATCCTTTTATGGAGAAGGTATGTGTTCAGCAGTGGACAGTTAATGCTTGAAATGATGATGATGTAGTAAATTGTTGATGAGAGACTTTTTCATTAGAGTTGTATTGTATTGTATTGTAAAGTCTTTATTGTACATTATTCACAATTCATAATTCTTCAAAAGATCCATTATACAATGGCGGACTTATCCCATAAAGGGATCTCTTACAGTCAACCTTTGAGAAGTTGAAAGAAAACTGTAGAATGTACAAGGGTAATAACTGTACAGTTAAAGATAAACTAAATAATACCTAGTAAAAAATTGAATATATAATAAAACAAAAATTACTCACAGATGTCTGTGAGATGAGTGAGTCTGTCTGTTTCTCCGTTTACACGCGCACACACACATACACACACATATGTAGCATCACAATATATATATATATATATATATATATAGTCTGCTGGGAAAAATAATATCCAAACAAGTGGATGGGATTGTTACTGTTTCCTTTTGAATAATTTTATTTTGTACAGAAACAGGAATGGGACAAAAGTCCCCATGTAGCTACATCTATGAGAGCTTATGGGAGAGGGGTGGGCAGCAGCGTCTCTCTTAAAACATCACCATAAGCTTAACTGTTGCCAACCAGCCTGTCAAGCATAGGAATTATTGGCATAACTTCCCCTATAGGGGGGGAGGGGGGCTATGTTCAGCAGTGGACAGTTAACGGCTAATAGAACTGCCTCTGGTAAATCCACAATGACCAAACATTACAGCGTTTAAATTAAGAGCTAGGAGACTGGGGCAGGTCGCACCGTTAGCAACCAACTACATTTGCTATGTTTAGCATAATATACAGATTTGTAAACAATGGCATCGCAAATTACCCAGTCGGGTGACAAATTGAAATTAAGTGTAGTATATTTATTTCTTTATTTTATTTGCGCGCGCGCACACACACGCACGCAACACATGCACACACACACACGACTTCCAGATTAAATTATATATATATACAACTTAGAATGGCAAACAAGCTGACGGCGCACCTGATGGAAAGCGGTAACCGTCGCCTATAGACATGAGCAGTACCATGGATATAACAGAGTATACTGTTTCGCCCATGATACCCTCCATACTTTGCCATTCCTGAGGACTCAGATGTTATTCCTCTGTACCCAGTAAATTCACGCCACATCCCACCCTTCAAACCGAAACGCAGCCATGCAAATTACATTGAAATTACATTACTACAAGTACTTAGTAAGTAATCCTGCGGAGTGAGGCCCTGGTGGCCTGTAATACAGGTACTCTTATACCTATCTCAGGCACCAGTTTCTCAGTCATTTATATTTATAATTTAATTACTTTAATATAAGTATGCCTCATTGTTATTCACTGTGATGAATTGTGAAGAAAAAATAAATCTATTTATTATTATTATTATTTATTTTATTTAACACTTTATTGCACCAACATTACAGGATTTTTTTTTTGATGGGTGAAAATGGTATGGTAACCCCGCCTGCGCTTACGGGATACGCTGGCGGGGCACCTAATGACAAGTCATAGGTGAGGATGAAAAGGCAGGTCAGTTAGCCCGCCGTGACTATTGCGCTATTGCAAATATATTGTATTTGTAACCGACTTCAAAAAGAAGCAGGTTAAATTACCAAGAACAGCGGAACCGTCACTCAATTTTCGACCTTGATATCTAGGGCAACAGGTCAAATTCAATTTGACGGAAGACTTGCTACAAATTGTGCAGGATGTATTTTGTATGTCGACGTGTGTGCTGAATAGTAAAATGTTAGAATGAATAAGAAATGCGAACTGATTCACTAAAAGAGATTATGCGTAGGTTTATAAGTGTAATAATTTAAAATCGTGTTCCACAAAGAAAAAAAAAGCAACTAAAGTAAACTAGTGTTTTTCAATGGATAATAATGTAATGGTAACCCCGCCTGCGCGGGGGAAAGGGATTGTTAGTAATGGGGACAGAAAATCCCATTGCTAGCAATATACCCAACTAGGTCGAACTACTCGCGGTTCCCCCTGGAAACTATCATCGTTAATTCATGATGAATTCATCATGATGTGCTAACTGGCCTGTTTTCATTCTCATCACTGGTGCTCCGCCAGCGTATCCCGTTAGCGCAGGCGGGGATACCATTCCATTTTCACCCATCAAAAAAAAAAACTCCACCTGCGCTAACTAAAGGGGCACCAGTGAGGGGTGACAGATGAGAATAAAAAGGCAGATCAGTTAGCCCATCGTGATGAATACGCCTGAAATTCAGCACAATGGTTTCCAGGAAAAATCTCCTCCTTTTCATCCAACTTCAATAAGAAAGAGGTTCTTTTGGTTGTATTTTTTGTTATACTCGTTACGTCAAGGTGTTTTTTTTTTAATGGATGATAATATAATGGTAACTCCACCCGCGCTATCGGTATACACCGGCGGGACACTAGTGAAGGATGATCGGTGAGGATGAAATAGGTCAGTTAGCCCATCGTGACGAATTTAACAAGATTTGTTCATGATAGTTTCCGGGGGGAACCACGTGAAGGTCGCCCTAATAAGGCATATTGCTAGCAATGGGGCTGTCAAACTTCATTGCTAACAATCCTTTTCCCCTCAGGACTAAGATGTTATGTCTCTGTACCCTGTAATTACATTGCCATATCCTACCCTTCACACTGAAAAACAGCCAT